CACCAGCCAACAAAATGAAAATATTTCTTTCAATACGGATACGCAATTGTAGAGGTATAAAATAAATGGTAGCCACAGGGTTAACGATAACAAATACATTTAGATGTTACTGGTTCGGGGCAACGGGACGAGTCAGCGAAGAAAGAAAAGTGCTCGACGTGGCCGACGCTTGCAGCTGCAGTCGTTGGCTACCAAAGGACACTTACAGGTCACACTCAGCGACGTTTGTTTACATTTGCTGAATCGTCTCGTTGGTCCGAGCATAGCTCGTGCTTCTCGTCTTGTGTTCTCCTAAATAAACACAGACACCTTATCGAGGGTTCGAGACCATTTCGGAATGCGGTATAATTACAAAGGTGTCGGTAGTCTTTGCTCAAATTAACCCAACAGCGACATCAAAAGTATTCTCAGAATCCTACATAATAAACAAAGTTTAATTATATAATAATAGTAATATCCATCGATTGCCATTTATTTTAGAGATCCAGAGTGCTAAATGATCTTGACTTCTAGCTACTATAGCGTCTAAGGACGTTTTCCCTTGGTTCGTACACTACATTCAAAGTAACTAAAGTACCTCTTGTCATAGAACAAAAATCCCACGTAAATTGTCCTCCATTTTAAGTGGACCTTACCCTGATGTTAGTACTATAGCGTCTAAGGACATTTTCCCTTGGTTCGTACACTACATTCAAAGTAACTAAAGTACCTTTAGTCACAGAATAGAAATCCAACATAAATTGTCCTCCATTTTGAGTGGACATTACTCTGATTTAGTACTATAGCGTCCAAGGACATTTTCCCTTGGTTCGTACACTACATTCAAAGTAACTAAAGTACCTCTTGTCACGGAATAGAAATCCAACATAAATTGTCCTCCATTTTGAGTGTACCCTACCCTGATGTTAGTACTATAGCGTCTAAGGACGTTTCCATTTGACTCGTGCCTCAGATTCGAACTAGCCAAAGTACCCTTCGACAAATATAAATATTCCCCTAGAAATTGTTCTCCATTTTGACCGCAAGTATGCCCCCACCCTGATGGTAACCCCTCCACGGTGATACGGTAGGGTGTTGCGCCAGGTTTAGCACTCCTGAGCGTTATCCGGACACCTGAATCGAGAGGATTTTCACAACACCGCTGCCTGACGCGAGAGAGCTCCGGCTAGGTTGTCGCGTGGGCGACCGGAAACCGTACCTTCCTACCGTCTTTGGTCGTCACTCGACGACTCCGGCGTAGAACGGGGCGAGGAGTGAGGGGAGGGCGGAGGGGTGGAAGGCAGGGGGACCGGGGGGTAAAGGGGGAGGAGAGAAAAGGCAGACCGACCGAGAACTGGCGCACAGCGTTCTCCTTCGACGTTCTCCAGCCAGTACCCGCGGCCGAGGGCGGATCTGTCTCTCCTGATCGTCGCGTAATGCCTCGACGATTCAGCGGAGATCCCCACAGGGAATCCTACTTACCGGGGGCCCGCGGAGGATCGATCGAAGGGACCGAATTTCTGGAAACTCGACGACCGTTGACCGTCCGACGCCATCTTGAAAACGGTTCGACGTCGTCGACGATAGCCACGGCGCGCGGTGCACGGGCCCCGGAGTCGCTGTAAAAGGACCGAAACTTCGCGGCTCGCCGTCCCATTGGTTCTCGCGTGAAAGTTGTCTCTCCGAGCTCTCGCGGTGTAAGCAAACCGAGCGAAGTTTGCTCGAGAGACCGCGTCGAGTGGCGGCCGTCGACGGTGGATTCGGACAGCACGGAGACACGTTGCACGGTTTTTCGGTAAACCGAGTAGCCTCGTGGTGTTTACCGAGACCGTTGATCGATCGTGAGAAAGATGGGGGACCGATGGAAGTCTGGAGGATCTTGGGGTTCACCGGAAGTCGAAGACGCGTCGAGGACGTTTGGAAGCGTGTCGCGAGGCTGTCGAAACGCGTCGACGCGAAGAAGAGTGGAGAAAAAAAAAATGGTATCTAGGCTCTTCGGATGATAGAAAGGCGATGACCTCGATCCTACGCCTGCCGCGTATAAAACGCCGTTCCCGTCTTGCACCTCGTTCCGCCTGTTTCTGCTTGCCTGTTCTGACTGGCCTGCCCACGCCTGCCCTTCTGTCAATTATATTTACTATTTCATTCATACCCGGCCGCCGCTTGGGTCCACGAGCCGTGCCCATTCACGAGAACGGCCGCGAATGCCAGATCGCTCGCGCCCGATGGCTATCCGATAGGCCAAGCACCTCCATATATGATTCGGATGGGAGTGCAACCACGGGCGAAAATTTCATTTACCCGTAATCTAGGATTATGTTGCGTAAGCACAGATGTATCGCGATACAGAGAACATGGTATACTCTGTGCCACGCTGACCATCCGTCTACATAGTCGAAACGAACGTTGGTACTTCCGGTCAAAACTCCATTGGGAAACCCCCTTATAACGGATCCAGACTCCTGTAAATATTGGACGATCACAATTTTCAAATACAAGCTTAGGTGACATATTTAGGTAACCCCAAATATAAGGAACTTCTTTTTGTAAATTTTCAATATTATTTTTGATCGTTTAAAAATATTTATGTAACAGTTACAGTTGTGAAATATCATTTTAAATTAATAACATGAGTCTCTGCAGATTGTAAGGCAATTTTAGGTACCGCCAAATATATGGAATTTCTTTATTATTTCTATCCATTTAAAAATGTTTAAAAAGAGGTTATAACCCCATTTCGATGGTCAGCTGAGCCACTCAGAAACCACGAAACGAACTCCTATTATTATTATTATTATTATTATCATTAGACTGCGGATGTTTATGCATTTATGGGAAATTTTAAACTTCAAAAAACTACACTTTAATATGCAAAAATATAAGATACGAATTATTATATTTAGGGGTTGAGACAGCCCTCTGCGAAGCTTCCGTTTCATTAATTCTATTAATAAAAATGTGAATTTGCATAAAGATCCGCAGTCTAATTATCATTATAATGGAAAGTGAGAAAATTAGCGGGCCACCCTGTATATGGTTGGTTGCATAACACCGTTCGAGGATCCGAGCTGCCTAGGATAAGGATTAGGATTCAGAAAAGCTCCGTCGGCCATTAATCACCATCGTTCTCGGCCCGCGACGTGCGCGCGCGAACTAAAAGCGAACATTTTTACGAATCAGTTGCCCAACGGATTTCGTCGTAACGCGAGTACATAACCTCGAACGGTCCGTTCTTTACTTTCTCACCGGCTTTCCTCTCCCGATACGCCGCGTACCGTGAGAATTTTTTCGGCCCCGAAAGGGTTTCCCTCCCGTTAATCGGGTGCTAATTCGTCTGATGCGCTGTGGAAACAAACGTGAGGGATCTCGCTAATTCGGTGCCAGTCGGCCGTAAAAACACGGCGCGACGCTCACGAAACCGCCCAGCGGTTTCTTTCAACGGGTAACGAGCGATCGCGTTTATTTACAACGCAAATGTCGCGATCGAATCGGAAAATTCATGCGGACTGGATTCGCCGTTACGGGTTAACGATTCGTTTTTCACGATCCAACGGAGATTAATAGCTGTTGGTACGCGAGAATACACCTACTCGTATTCGACGAGGGTCGCCTAGTAATATCGAGGCTTTTTTTCCCCCTAGTCTATCATCGTGGAGTCTCAAGGTAAAATGAAAAAACATTTTTTAAACCGATTCTGGTCTCGTTCCAATTATTTTAATTCGTTGGTACTGCTTACACCTGCGTACGTTTATGTTTCGATTTGTTGCAAAAACGTGATTATGTGTTGAGTCGTTGACGAAAGATCGATTCGGTCGTGCGAGTCGAATTAACCTAAAGAGGCTGAAACACTTTTCGTATCCCGTCGGAAGAGATGAGGTCAACGTTATTTTCTAATAGATGAAACACTCGACGAAAGCGCACGCACACGCAACACGCGCGCGATAACCCGAATAATTAAGTTTCCACGATGATTCTCGTATTCCTATAAAGGCATCGCTACGCGCCCACGCCCAATTCCTTTTTCACTTTGCGACCGTTGGCGCCGTGATTTCAAAGCCGTTTCAGAACCTGACGATGTCCTTTCCGTGTAGTATCCGTGTAATACCCGTTAACGACCGTTACGCTGTTACCGTACCGTCAATGGCAACTCTGATACGTTTATGGAATTCGACACGAGCATTGAACAAAGTAGGAAATAACATCGTGTACTCGTTAAAAGGTTACGATAGTCACAGAGTATCGTTCTTAGTCCTTTCCTTACGAGTGAACGCTTTAGTCGCTGTTTTAGTCGAAGTTGCTGCTGACGAATATCGATATGTTATCGACAACATAATCGATAATGTTTAGATGTTACCGATATGTATCGACAACGTTATCGATAGTGTCTACGACAGACGAGATACAGAATAGATGTTTCGTCTTTAGAACTTTGGTGTCGCACTCGTGTAAGCTCTTCAAAAGTCAGTGGCGACCTCCACGCTTAAACAACGTTGAGCCCGAGAACTATGTACGCAACTCCACCACTGAGATCGATAAAATCACAGCCTCCTTCTTTACCAGTCGGGTTGAAAATAAATCTGACAAGCACAAACGAGATATACGAGTAGACCTTCCACCCAATGTATTTTTTCCGCCCATTTTTATGGGGTTTCGAAACCCCATTACCATTTTCGTGTCATTCGCAACGTTACCAACAGATTCAGAAACGAATTTCAATCCCTTCCATAGTCAACTCACATGCATTTACGCAAACACTACAGCTGTTTGCCTATAAATACTAATTCAGTGAATAGTTTCTCAACTGACCGTCATCCATTTTCCGAATTTTCAGGTCGGTATGGCAGTCAGATTGGACCACGAAAGTCCATGAGGTAAAAGATCTACTCGTATAACTTGTCTGTGCTTACAACTATGCTAAGCATATGTGAAGTTGTGTAATAGTTTAAACTATGGAATAGTGACAAAACTATGACAGTAATAGTAATAGAAAGGAAAGGTTCCAATAAATCGTACAAATAAAATTTTTATGAAAAGACAAACATATATTCCTTTAACATGGGTATGCATTATCAGCGTTGCGATTGTGTTACGCAAATATATAAAACATATATATGTTGTTTACTGTATTCAAACACTGAAACATTAAAAAAAAGGTCGATTTTCGAACGCTCTTTCGAAGCAAAAGATACGCGCAAAACGATAAAGCGAGTTCTCCTTTTCTGAAGAATTAAGTGTATATTTCTCACACCAACTAAAAAAGAAGCTGGAATGTTAGATAGCTACTAATGGGAAACAAATGAAACATAATAATAGTCTCGATATGAACGAATTAATTCGGTTTAAACTGTCGTTATAAAGTTTTATTTCGTGTCGATCCAACGGGGGCGAGGTTTCGTTTATCAAGCCAAACCGTATTTCTGTTTGGTTTCCTGCCATTCGTTCCACTTGTTCCACGATTTGTCGATGGACACGAGTCCCTTGGCGTCGTCCTGGAACGAAAAAAACGGTTCGAAACGGTCCCTATCGATCGGTGACTGTTCGCCAAAGCTAGTCATCGTGATCGCTAGATATCGTGGGTGACGGTTACCTTGAACAATGAGTTCGACACGTCGGCCCAAGTGCCAAACAGGTGCAGAAGATCCGGTCGTTTCGCGTAGAGGGAGCTCGCGGCCAATATGCCGTGGGTGAATTCCTCCCGAGCGTTTACAGACTTATCACCGGAGCAGAGGACCACTCGTGGCGGCTCCACGCCAAAGTTACACGCTGTCCAGTCGTCGAGGGGCGCACGGTTGCCTCCAGGGCAGAGCAATTCGCACTTCTCCTTTGGTTTGTCCGATGGACCTAGTTTCTCTGACAAATTTCGATACCAAAGTTTACATTCGCTACGATTATTTCTACGCTTTGGAATTGTACGCTTTGGAATAGTACTCACCGATATTTGCCAAGGCGGTAAACGGCACGAACGCCACGTCTCCTTGACCCGACAACAGACACCTGAAATCGATGCGTAATTCGTTTCAGGGAGCCCGAGATAAGTTGTACAGTCATGGCTGACGCGATTGCGAGCGCTTAGAGCGTGTCGAATCTTGGTACTAAGCAAGCTAACCTCAAACAGTCCCATATTTCGCCTATTACGAATCTGAATACTTACTTCAGGGCTCCTTCGCCACCCTTGAACGCTTCTGAGTTGTTAGGTTTGCACTTGGTGGCCCGTCGAACTTGATCGTCGTCGGACATGGCGCTACCGACGCACTGAACGCAGAGCTTCGAGTTAACGTCCGCGCCCGGGGCACAGGATCCCGAGAAGAACTCGCCCGCGTCGTCCGTGTTGTTTAACAAGCCTTTTTCCTTCAGCACGTGCATCGGGGCGTCCCAACCGGCGAAGTCACCCTTGTATCCGCTGTGACACGACTTCTTTTGCCTCAGATCCTCTGAAACGACCGATTATCGTTCACAGAAAATCTTATTGCGCCTAAAGTTTGCACAGAACGCGTAGGCTTACCGAGTTTGCTGATCCCGCTGGACTCTTTGACGACCGCGACCGCCGGTCTCTCGCTGTGGTTCGTCGTGCCCTGTCCGTAAGTTTCCGCGATTATGGGAACCGCGTTATAGTCTTTGATCGCTCGTGCGACCGAGCCTCCCTCGACTACCACCAGATCGGCCTTGTCTTCCTTAACGGCTTTCAAGCACGCGTCCTCGTCCTTCTCCATCTTGCACTCGAGCTTTGGCCTGACGTCTCTGCGTACAACGAAGAAGAAACACGTGTTACTTCCATTTAAGAAGTATTTTTTATCGTTGGACGATTGGCAAAATTGTTTCATAACCTAACAATAAGTACTATACAGCGATGACTTGATGGCTAGGCACGCCGATTGGTCGTAGCTTGATAGCGACGCCTACTCTCACACGCAGTGTCGCTATTGGCTGAGTGGCTCACAACTACAATTCGCGAACGAAACGTACAGGAACAGAGTAGGATAGGAGAAGACTGAGAGGCATTGACGTAACCGTACGCTAAAAATGCTAGCCATGAATAGAGCAAAAGTGTATCTCTCGTGGTTATGGAGACCCTACTACTATGTAGCTCTGACAGCGGGTGTCTATGGCGGGAATAGACCTTCCCTCCTTGCCCTTGTCCCGTTTAGTTTGGGGGTGCCTAGCCAACAAGTCATCTCTGTACAGTAAGTACCTCGAGAACGCCGCTTTGGCAACAGCATTGCACTTGTCGAGCGCCCCCTGGCTCCAAACGCACCAGCGAGCAAGTTTGCCCACGGATCCGGAGTCCCTCTCGATCACGTCCAAGTATTTCGAGTTCTTCAGGTGGTTCTCGGGCGACACGACCGGCGCTGGTACGGCCAGAGTCTTGTTGTCCAGGAGCATGATGTCCTTCCACCAGCTCGCCTTTTCTTCCTCCCCAAGTTTACCGAGATCCGTCAATTCCTGCGATAATTCGAGGTTATTCGTATCGAGGATGCAATTTAACGAAGTTCGTAGAACCAAAGAATTCGAAGAATCAAAATTCGTAAAGCGAGAGTCCTTATATCCATTGTATTTTTTTTTTTTTAAGAGGTTAGAAAAAAGAAAAAGTGAAACACAATATAAAATTTGGTAAAGAATTTTTTTCTCGAAAGTGCGTAGGATTTCGGGGGTATGTCTATCCACCAAAAATGATCGCAATTGACCCCCGCAACTGAAAATAATTTTTCCAGAATGATTTGAAATATTTTAATTTAGTTGGAAATTTGGTCCATGGCAGATGAATGGGGCATGAAATTTTGTAAGGTGTAAGGTCTACTCGTATGCCTCGTCTGTGGTTTTGCTACGAAATTGATACATCGGCGAGTCAACTATCGAACCAAATGTGTACCTTTTGCAAGGCCCGGGTGTCGCTGACGGCCCCGTTGGCCATGTAACCCTGCCAGGGTCTGGCTGCCCAGGTGCAGGGCTTGGTGTTAGCGTCGATCGGTACTTTGGTACCGTCCGGGCAGAAGTATCGATAGTCAGCCGGGTTCTCGTTCGTGGGTACCGCCGGGGTGACGCCTACCGGTAAACCGAAGAAACGTTTCACGTAGATCACCTTGGTCCAGGCTACGTCGCCGCCATTGTGGGCGAGGCACCGCAATGCGCCCTCGTATCCCGAATAAATATCAGGGTAGTCGCAGACGTTGGGCTTCTCGCACAGAGCGCACATGTTCGAGTAGGTTTCCTCTGGAAAACGGAATTCATTTCGCGTTGTACAGGAGTGTCGGTGCTTTATAACGTGCAGAAAGAAGGCAAGAACAATGTTCGTCGGAATCTTACTGAGTCGTCGGTTGATTGCTGGATCCGGCGACCAGGTGCCGACCAAGCATCCCTTGGAGAAGAGCGAGCTTAGAGCACGAAGCTCGTTCTCGCGAGCCGAGTACTGAGGATCGTTCACGTTGTTCAAGACCCCCATGGCGGTAAGTTTGGTGATCGGTATTTTGTAGCCAACGTTCCGTCCCACGCCCGTGTGACAGGACTTCAATCCGCGCAGTTCCTGCACGTTGTTTATGGCCAGGTATTTGTGCACCACGCACACGGCTTCGTATCGATAGATCGCGTCCGGTTCCTCCTTGGTTCTCACCTAAAAAATAACCAAACGAGCGAATTTATCGCGCGCTACACTTTGAAAAACTTGGACTGTTTTCCTTTTTCTTCTTTTTTTTTTTTTACCTGTTCGACGACACTGTACCCGGCTTTCGCGGCCAGCTCGTTGTTCTTTGCCACCAGATACATGTCCTCGGGATCGACGGCCACCACGTCCGCTTCCTTCTTCCCGACTCTGTCGATGCATTCGTACCGATCGCGACCAGAAATGCACGAAACCGGAATTCCTTTATCGGCCGAATCCTTCATCATGTCCGCGCAATCCTTCCAGTACACTTCCGGCACGCATATCGTGACTGTCGGTGTATCGACGAAGCAAAAACGATCGAGATTAGTTCCAGGGATTCGGTACTATTTTCCAGTAATTTACGGTTCAATTTAATTCATGGAGTTAAAGTAAATAGTTGATGGAGGCTTCGTTAAAAACTTATTAACGTTTAAAGTTCCATTTGTACTGAATTTTTTTCTCGAAAATGCGCAGGATTTCGGGGGTATGTCTACTCACCAAAAATGATTGTAATTGACCCCCGCAACCGAAAATAATTTTTTCAGACCAATTTGAAATTTTTTTTTTCGCCAAAAAACTTGTCCACCTTCACGAATTTTTTTCTCGAAAATGATTAGGAATTCGAGGGTATGTCTATTCACCAAAAATGATTGTAATTGACCCCCGCAACCAAAAATAATTTTTTCAGAATCATTTGAAATTATTTAATTTTGTCGAAAAATTGCAGTACCTATTCGATTTTTTTTTTCGTAAACGCGATGGAATTCGGGAGTATGTCTAATCACCAAAAATGATTATAATTAACCCCCGCGACTGAAAATAATTTTTCCAGAACGATTTGAAACTATTGAAATTCGCCAAAAAATTTCAGCACCTATTCGAATTTTTTTCTCGAAAACGCGTAAGATTTCGGGGGTATGTCTATTCACCAAAAATGATTGTAATTGACCCCCGCAACCGAAAATAATTTTTCCAGAACGATTTGAAACTATTGAATTTAATTGTTAATAACTTTTTAACGAAGCCTCCATCAACAAATTGGTATTCTTGATTTTCGTCTTATTTTGGCCTGAGAATCTCCCATTAAAATTTTTCCCATGGGTGGCCGAACACCCTGTATACGTATATTTTAAGTAAAGGAAAAACTGGCGGGGAAAAAAGGCGGGAGAGTCTCTGACCCACCTAACCTCAAAAAGTCAACGTAAAATGTATCGCGGGTGAAATTAATTTAATCGAGGGCAAACCGAGGACTCTTAACAATTCCTTGTTAGTGTTCGAGATGGTTATCAACCTCTAAATCGTGTACAATAGAACTCCTATTAACCTATCGCGTCGGGGGACGTACTATCTATTCATTTTTCGTTCGTGTAACCCGGAGATCAGTTAATCGGTCACTGGGTGAAATTTCGTTCCAACAAAGGGAATTTAACCAAACGAGTCCGATGTCCATTGTCAGTCTTGCATCTGTCAGTCGCGTAAACACGTTACTTTTTTACTCGAACCGTATTACGGAATCGTCTTGTTTACGATTTCTGCGCGCTGTCGCATTTCTACATCGCTCAGCCGGCGTTTTCCGTTCGAACGAAACGAGGCGTCGAATTTAAGAAATCTACTCACAAACACGCCCGGAGGGAGCATCGTTTTCAGCCGTGGCGAAGATAGGCTCGTCAGCGATCGCGAGCGCCGCGAGTGCGGCGAACAAAACGCGAAATCCGAAGCTCATGGTTCGAAGCGAAAGCCAGTTAAACAACTATGATCGTCGCGAGGAACGGCCAGGAGACTCCACGACACGATACACGGTCTATGCGATACCAGCGTCCACCTTATATAGGAGAGAATGATTGGAGGAGGAGAGGCGTGACCTCGTCGCGGTTATCGTTTCCTCTCCTTTTCTCGCGACTCCGGTCTCCGTCGGTGTTCGTCGCTCGAATCGCCTTTTCTTTCCATTTTTTCTTGTTTTCCAAACCGGTGTTGTTGTTTATCCTGCGAGGCGTCGCCAGCGAACGCCAGAAGATCGAGGATGCGCGTCCAGAGCCGGGGAAATTAATTTATTTATCTGTTAATTCACATTTCGATTTACAAAAATTTTAGTTCCTCCTAAGTAGATTACAAAACTACAAAAGATTGTTTATACAAATTTTTGATCAAAATAATTCCCTTTCGATTGGACGAATAAAATTTACCCAATCCGCGAAACCCAAGCGTTTCTGGAGCGTAGCGATCGAAAAAACAACAGTCGATAACTACACTGACCTCTGCACCCGAGACCCCACCGGCATTATCGCGACAAGAACGCGTTTCGAAACTCGGATATCGATAGCGAAGGAAAATCCGATCGTGTCGCGAGAAACCCCGTTTAATTCTGAGGCGAGGAGGAGTCGGGGACTTCCCAGATACACCAAGGTCGAACGAATAATCTGCCCGACTGGCAGCCTTTTGTTTGCTGTTGCTCGCCAGTCGCTATTCTTTACCGGCGAACAACCTACCCGCAGGCACTTTCAAACCATGTCACTCGCAAAGGAAGCACTTGCTCCAATTGCTGTGTGCAAAATAAAGTACTCTCTAACGACGTCCATTATCCTATGATACGATTTCTTCCCAAATGCCGCGAGGTGCGCTCGCCAGCTGCAATTGCGCTTCAAAGGAAACCAAAACACTTGGGCGGTACATTGTCGTCGAATACTCGTCCGCCGCCATCTTTGAAAACCGGGATTCTATTTAGAAAATTATAGTCCACCTTCCAAGCATGATTCCAAGAATTTATTTGGCGAAACATTATTATTACAAACTTGGTATACATTGTTTCAAGGTTTCAATATTATTTATAAAGTAAATATACAAATACTTTTGTCCTACGAAGTGTAGGTAAAAGTTACTTTATTTATAGATTACAAAAATTTATTTGGCGAAATATTATTATTACTAACTTGGTATATATTATTTCAAGGTTTCAATATTATTTATATAGGAAATATACAAATACTTTTGTCCTGCGAATGTGTAGGTAAAAGTTACTTTATTTATAGAATCGTACAACTTCATGACTTTCACTGCGAATGGTAAAATTAGAATCGTACGTGGTGTGTCCCGAGTCGCGATAACAGTAATTAAACCTAGGAAATCGTTCGAAGTATTAAAAAGAAAATTTATTTAATTTCCGTTTCAAACAAAAATAATCGTTTCAAACTTGTAGCTTCAATGTTGGGAAAGTCCTCAGTTTCGAAACCTCTAGCTGGCTGTGCAGAATCAGCAGCTCCTCGAAGTTCTCGCGGATGGTCCGCGCCAGACGAGCTTTCCGCGTTATCGAGCGCATCTTTTTCCGCTTGAACGCAGCGGCCTTCGAGCGAAGCGGATCGCGCGCCGCCACGCGAAGCTCGTCCCTCTCGGTCTTGGACCGCTCGATCTCCTCCATCAGTTTTGCGTTTCTATCTTGCCACTTTCGCGTAGCGCTCGCTATTTCTTGCAGCTTAACCCTCTCCTCCTCCACCGCCGCCACTAGTCTCTGAAACGAAAATTTTCATCGATCCTCGGTCACGATCGTCTTCGATCGAGTCGCTCACCTTTTGTCGCTCGAGGAAGTCCCTCTCCAGGGTTTCCAATTCCTCTTTTGGGATGGTCCCGTCCGGATAACGATCCACACACTCTCGCATCATTCTGCTCACCTGAATCGCAAATATCTATGAATACTGTTCCTCGAAAATATATATAATAGGTTTATCCTTTTGATCTTTAATTTATCTTGAGGAAATAATAATTAAAAGCTATTATTCCACAAAGATTTATGCAAGAGAGTGATTCTTTCTTCAAACAATCCTAATCAATTAGATTTTTTCTTTTCTCCACTCTTATCAGCGATCCGCCATCTTGTTCTACAGACATGCGCACTACGTATCTAATTCAAAATGTGTTTTAAACGGAATACGATAGATTTACATACCTTCTATCGTATTTCTTTTACATATATATTTTTACCCCTCTGATAAATAAATATTTGACAGCCTCTGATACAAATGATTACCTTGACGGTCGAAAGATCCTTCAGATTTTCCTGCAAATTCTCCATCGTCTTCCGCACGAGCGCGTGTCGCCACTCCTCGAAAGCTATGGTTCGTCCTAACCTCATCACCCGCTGCAGGGCTGCCAATTTCCGTTCCCCGGCCTCCGCGATCGCCTCCCTGACGCGGTCGAGCTCTTCCCGCGTAATTAACACGGTCTCCTCCCACTCGGAAGTCGACTCGCCGCGAGGTTGCTTCTGCAGCTGTCCGGTCTTCAGGATCAAGACGACTTCCTGGTCGTCCGTCAGATCGATCAGCGACTTTTCCAGTCGTTGCACCGTCTCTTTGCGTCGGTTGACCGTGGCTCGTGCCGCCAGACACGCTTTTCGATAGAACGCCAGACTCTGTTCCGCTTCCGCCAGCTCGATCGCGCAGCTTCTAACCTTAAAAGTTTCCCTCGTGAACCGATCCCGTACGATCGAAAAGTAACTCGTTCGCGGGAATCGTGCGACACGGAGAATCGTATCGATTTTATAGCGTGGGAGAATCGTGTGTTTATTTAATTCAACGGTCGCTAGCCGTTGCGTCGAAGGAGTGCACGTGTCCGGTAACCCGATCCGGGGGAGAAAAAAAAACGGTCGCGCGTCACGCCAGACTACACTCGGTCACGGTCGTTTGCCTCTCATCTCATTAAATCCAGCTGCGCTTCTGGGATGTTCCGAAAAAAAAAAACAAAGGTATCGGGTGTCAGTCGTCGAGACTCGTCTCGAACTGTCTGAGTCATCAGAACAGAAAGACGTTACACGGTTCGCATTATTTTTTTATTCTGCTCGTCTCGAGCGATAACACCAAAAACCGACGTTTCAGGCTTGCTAGGATTACGAAATTAATTTCTTAATTATAAATTAGAATTTTACCTTGATCTCCGCTTCGACCTTGAGTCTCCTGAGCCGACAAGCGTTGTTCCAGTGGCCGAGATCGATTCGAGGGGGCAGATTGTCCGGCATCGCGTCGAGATCGTCCAGATTTCGAAGATAGTCCTGCCATTCCCTGGGTAGAATCGCGGATTCCTCTTTGCGGTCGCCGATGGCGAGTTCGGCGAGCTCGGCGAGGAACGCCAGCGACGTGCCGCAAACCGCCCCCGCGGTTCGTGGTCTTCGACGATAATGGCGGAACAGATGCTCCACCATCGGTTGCTTCAACTCTGCTTCGAATTCCGCGCGAAACTTCGCTTCGAGAAGCTTGTCCCGTTTGCGGAGGCCCTCGTACCGATTTCTCAGCTCGACGACGCCCGCCTCGAACAGCTCGCACTCCTCGGCGAGGCTGCGCGCTTGCTTCGTCGCGGGTACCACTTCGGTGTCGATCGTGCGCAGGATCTCGCGTCTCCGTCGAGCGACCGTTCGATGCCCGATGATCTTCTGGAACTTCGACAGCTTCTCCAGGAGTACGGACCTCTCGACTCGGACCTTCTCCGCCGAGAGCTCTGTCAGTTGGTCGTCGAACGCTTTGGCGCCCTTCGAAAGTTTCTCTGAACAGAACGGTCGTGGTCTGTGTTATTTTTTACCGCGTAAAATACTTTCATGTAATAACAAAACGAACGAATGAAACGACGCACCCTTGACACGATCGATCTCGGTTTCGAGCGTCGATTTGTACTCGAGCCTATGGGCCTCCCGGGTTCGAATTTTTTTCTCGTACGACTCGATCGCCGCGACATCTTCCTCCGTGTAATTAGACGGATCCTTGAGTTCCAAGCACTCTGGCTTCGGAATGGTCCTTTTCGCGTTGTCCTCCAATCTGACGCGTTCATTTGGGTCGATTAAAATAACGTTGCAGGGATTTTGGGATTCTTGCGCTAAGCAAATCGTGCGATTCTCGCTCTGGTAACTTTCCTTCGACGATACTATAATTTAAACGCTCGTTCCATACTGTCTGCTTTGTCCCAAATACGGACGACGCACAAGTGTCGCGATTGCAGGGAGTCTAAAGGGAATGTGGTATTCCGAGTAAGTCGAATGGGGACAGCGTCGAGCAATTTTGCCTTGCGAAGGCTGACTTTAACGACTGACCCAATACGAGCGTGGACAATTCCGTTCTGCGAAGTACGGTGCGCTCCAAAGAGTACAGAGTACGATAAATTGAGAGTTGGACTTACTTAATTTCGAGAACACCGTCCATCATTTGTTCCAGCGTCTCTAGACGAAAGTTTACGTCCCCCGGGGAATCTTTTTCCACCGTCGGAGAGACGACGAGGCTCGCGAGAGACGAGTCGCTGGAATCCGTGTCGAAGTCGTCGCGGTCGTCGGCCATTCCTATTTCGCGCCATCGTGAAACGTTCAGCAGGTCCGTGCTCGCATCAACGCCAAACGTCTCTTTCAGCTCGTCGACGCATCGACGCGTGTTCCTCGCGCGTTCGATCGCCATCTTGGTCTCGTTTTTCTTCGCGGATCGCGTCTCGTCGAACCGTTCGTTGAATCCCGACTTGAATAAATTACTTATTAGTCGACTGCGGATCTTTATGCAAATTCATATTTGTATTAATAGAATTAATGAAACGAGAGCTTTGTAGAGGGTTGTCTTAACACCTAAATATAATAATTCGTATGTTGCTTTAAGTATTTCTCATATCTTTGCATATTAAGTGCTCTCTGTAGTTTCTTCGGAATTACAATTTTCCATAAATGCATAAACATCCGCAGTCTACTTATTAGTAATCATTACTAATCGTTATGTTAATCGATTACTCATTAGTTGATTAATCTCATTAGTTATGTTAATAGTTTTTTTAACCGTAAGCGATTTAAATACTTGGAGCATATAAATATTCAAGTACCGGAGTACCTTCAGATCGAGTTCTCGTTCTTCCGCCGTGGCACACGTCTCGAGAACGTCCACGTAACCGCGATACGGATCGAAAAGATTCCGTTCTTCCAATTCTTGAATCGCGTCCGAATTCTCTTCCTCGAATCTGAAATCGACGACAATGATCAAACGCTAATAAGACGCTCGCCATTTTCTCCTGGACGATTACCTCGACACCAGCTCTCTGGTTTCCATCGAGAATCGACACCAGGCTCTACGATCGATCTCTCCTTGATCGACTTTGACGAGGGGATAGTTGGTGACCTTCGACTCCCCGAAAATGGACGAAATGCTTTTCGGTCGAACGACCAACGGTTCGAGAAAACGCTCGCGCAAGTAAGAGATCGCTCGTTCGTTGCCAGCGATGAGTTCCTCGGTGTTTTCGATCAGCTGTTCCTCCCTCATTCTGGCAGCCGCCATCTTGCGCTCTCGAGCCTCCGCGTCCAAGTCGAACGCGCTGATTGGCAGCCGCGCGTCCGGCGATTCGGCCTCGTTCGCGTCGAGCAGAGCCTTCACCTGTCGCAAAACACGATTCTCTATCGCGTATATTCCAGTAAATCGAACAATAAATAATTTACCCGGCGCTTCAAATCGTTGAAGTCGTTGACGATCGAGAGACGCGACGACAAGTCTCGTTTCTCTTCGTCCATCGTACGCTTGCGCGCCATGGCGTCCACCCACGTTCCCGCCAACCAATCCTCCGCCATCTTGTCTTCCTCGTCCTCGTCCTCGTCCGTTGTTCTTCGAGCAGATTCGTCAGGGATCCAACGGGCGAAGCTGTCCGGCGACCAGGATCGACCGGGAAGATACTCGAACCTATGACCGTCCTAGATTCTTAGCAAAAAGATTAATTTGAGGAATAGTTAAAAACAAATGTTAACAACGAACGGTGGACGCAGCTTATTGGCGACCAGGTCCCCGTTCCTGCCAAACGAGACGACGGCGTCCCCGACAATCGCGGCCCATTGAACCCCGCCTTGGGATCTGTGGTGTCCAGGAAACACCGCCAAGACCTTCTGTGGCTCCCCGGTGTCCCGCAGGACAATCAGTCCGTCGTAGCCGCAGGTGAGGAGAAGCGAGCAGTCGCGCGTTCCTACGCGATCGAAGCCAACTTGCACGTTCCTCGTTCGGTGCAAGGAGGGAACAGCGTCCAGGACGACCGCCTCGCCAAAGTTTGCCTGCGTTCAATGATCTTCGATCGAGTTTCCTTTTGTTTATTTATTAGTTAACGGGTCTGCAACAGTTGCGACGTTCGTAACGTTTTGTTGCATTGTGACAGCATCGACAGGGGCGGGGCGTCGCCTCCCGTACTCGCCACCAGAGGGCTACACTTGACTATCGAATGTTGGGGCTTCCTAGACAGGGCCTGCTAGGTTTTCTACCCTCTTACAATCTTTCAGGGGATTTAATATTGAGAACCGGATTAAAATAGGACCCCTGAGGACCGCCAGACGAGAAAATGGTTTCTCTGGAGATTTCGTGTTACCTTGTTACCTTGAATCGAATTCTGTGCAGCTGTCGCGACAAGTATGGCGCCCCGAATACCTCCGTGCTTCCTTCCATTCCGTGGAAGAGTTTCTCGAACGAACACGACAGTTTTATCGCGTTACTCGCCGCCTCGAAAAAGTCGCCGTCTAGCGAGTACACCAGGATCTCGTCTCCTGCACGAGGATCCTTCGAGTCGAGTCCTCCGACTAGGACCAAGACCTTCGACCCCCGATTGTCCTTCGTTTCGTAAATCAGCAAGTCCAGAACCTAGCGTAAAAAGGGAATAAAATTAAACCTTGCGTTTTGAAATTTCTATGGCGCATGAGAGAAGACCTTTCGTTGAACATCGATGGTGCAGGCGACTTTTATGGTCGTTCGACGGTCCAACGTCGGGACCAAGATAAACAGTCGGCCATTTTGGGAGGAGCCAACTCCCAAGATGCGTCCTTCCTCCGAGAAGTTCATTCTATCCAAGGGCTCCCTCTGCAGGTGAACGCAACAGACGATTTTCGGGGTAGAGGGCGCGGAAACCTCGACGAGAACGCAGTTTCCGGTGGCGCTGCACGCCGCCAGGATCGGTGCAGTAGGGTGCGAGATCAAACGAACGACTGGAATTTCCTTTTCGATGAAACGACACTTGACTTATGTCTTTGTTTTTACCGACCTTCGCCGTGATGCTTCAGCGACCGCTTCGTCGCGGAGACGACGTTTCCGGTGGAGGCGTCCAGCACCACGAGTCGATGCGAGAGGTCCAAAGCAGCGAGGAACTGATCGGAAAACGAAGCGACGGCCTCGAAATCCGCGCTCCCCGACGACAGAAATTCGAGTCGAGGTCCACGCTTGCGCAACGAGCCGACCACTTCGAACAGTTCGCCGTTCTCGCCGAGTATCAGAATCTTGTCGTCGCGGGGGTGGCTCTGGGCCCAACTGGGAAACGACGGCAACGAAATTGTCCATATCGCGCGCCAATTCTCCGTACGATCCTTGGTCTCTTTTCTATAAAACTACGAGAACGAAACATTAATTGATAAAATATATTTTGATTATTGTACTCTATTATTTTGACGATCTACCGTTGCTCGAACGTCGCGATTCGTTTCTGGAGGGATCTCAACGACCAACGCACCGCCCTTGTGGGTCACCAACGATGGATTTCTTTGAGATCGAAAGGAGGCTTGAACGATCGTTCGAGCGCGATGATTTTCACTCTCGTCGAGATCCACAGACCAAACGTTGCCCGATTCGTCGCAGAAAAGTAATGTTCCCCCCGTGGACCAGGAGATGGCGACTGGTTTGTTGCTAGAATCTATTTCAAGGTCCACAGGAAACAGTCGAACGATCTTCGAGCAGACTAAAATACGGTAAACCGAGAGGGCGCTGGTCCCTTGCTCGAATCGTGCCACCAGCTGAGGCGAATCCTTGCAGCATCTGTTGAAAAGTAATTATTTTACAGCACAACACAGCGCAAAACAGCACAAGACAACGCAATAACAATAATAACGATACATTACGCTTTAAAATAATTATTAATTATCCAGCCGTATTATTCGAGTAGAAATTTGACTCACGCGAGAATCGTGCTTCGCAGATCGGTTATAGTCGCGTCTATGGCGGCCATTTGGTCACCGGTTCTCCAGTGCCAGACGATTACTCGAAAATCTGGATAGATTGTTTGGCCTAACAGGTACTCGGTACCGGTGAACGCGCAGCACGCGTATCCATTCGCTTCTTGACTGTTCGAACAGCATGTTATCCGTCGAATGGACGGATAACCGAAAATCAACACTCTCGGATTCGGTTTTCTCTCCACGATGGAGAATATGGACGCCACCTGAGGACGTGGAAAATTAGATTCAAGTTCCAATCAGCCCCAGAAGTTCCTTTTACTATTCCAAAGCTACTGCAAATCTTACTTATTTACTGGAAAATAAAATTAGATTACGTCTATCAAAGTTAATTTAATTCCCACAGTGGCGTTTCGATCGTAATAATAACGATAAAAGAAACGAGTTTCACCGAATGTCCAGCAACGCATGACGCGCCATCTGCCCTCTCGCGGTCGTCGAACCGTTCGATCCGCGTCTTTCCGCTCCTCAGGTCGAAGAATCGCGCGTAAATGCCCGAGACTGCAACGATGGCGTCCCTTCCGACGTACGCGACCTCCCGACACTTTCCAAATATCGCCCATCTGAAGAAACGAACAAGAACGCTGATGAGAAAATGTCCTCGTTCAATTAGAATCGCGAGTATTCACGTACGATGGTTCCACCGACGTAAAACGCATCGTCTTCGTTCGCCTAACGCCACCCGACACGAAAATTGTTCGACTCTACTTCGAAGCAACTGTGGTTGCTGGGATACCTATCCCCTGTATTGATCTCACAACGACATTGCAAACAAGAATTTCGGGGATTTTTCTTTCTCAAAATACGTATATAATAATAATACAATACAGAAAAATAGTATGATTTATAATAACAAATAGAAACCGAAATTACTGAATCTTTATTCTTAATTCCAACGCACGATTTTAGTATCGTCTCGATCATCCAGAAAAGAGTGTTTATCGTAACAGAACGCTTGTCAATCGCGTATCGAGTTTCTTATGGTCGCGATCACGCGATGCACGGACGCGCGAATATTGTATTTCTCACCTCTACGGCGTCGACGTCGAAAATCTGCAGCGGATGATTTCACTTTCGTCGTGTCCGACTTCCGTCGCGACCGCATCGACTAATCGACCATCGTTCGTTGGACGCAAGAATGCGGATAAGTGTGCTAGTGGATCGCGACGAACGTAGGAGGATCGATGAATCGTGTGACCGTTATCGCTTGCCCTGTACGACGCATATCAATGAACCGACGCCTTCCAGCGACAGTTTCGTTCGGGTCGAGTTCCCGGAAACTGGCAGGTGGCGTACGTTTAGGCGACATCTACGCGACGAACGTCACAGCGAAGCTCGTCTTTATGTCAAAACGGGTTAACAATATTGTGGACTCGAAGCATGTAATAGGAAAGATGGTTGCATTACACGCAAAGAATTTTAATAGATTTATTATCTTAAACGAAAAGGATGCAGATGTATATCTGCAAATATTCACAGTTGTTAAGTCCATTTCGAGATATTTAAGGGTTTGGTAAGGATCACCGACGTTTAAAACGGCCTTGGGTGCGTCCAGTAGGAGATGGGTGTTTTATATTAAATTTTTCTATCGGTTTCGTAATTAGACATTGCTTGCCTGTTAATATTAAGAAAGGAATCCTAACTTATTTCGTAAATAGAAGGTAAAATAGCGTAATAAACAACGTTTATCAAAAATAAATGGAAAGAATTCATTAGAAACATTCGAGGCACCAAGAAAAAATCCGTTTATCTTGGAAATAGCTGCATCTGCATCTACGCCGCTTGGCCTGCGCAGCTCGACCGAGTGGCTCCCAAGATGGCGGCCGAAGACTGCCCGGAGTCTTCGCGGGAGATTCGCGACAAAACCGAGACGCAGATCGAAGCGAAAAGAAGGAAGGGGTCCGGTTCGGAGGATTTTGAGTCGACGGCGATCGAGTACGAGGCGAAAACAATGATCGAATATAGGTCGGGGACCGCTAGTCGCTTGATATGCGGTGGACGTTTTCGAGGGGCGAGCGGGGCGAAGCTTCGACGTTCCCTTGGTCGATGTTTCGCCGTCACTCGAAAACGTCGTGCCACGAGGATCGTTCGATTCCGACGTCGGTCGATCGGGAACGCGACTCCCGGGTTGGGAAAGTTTTTGCCTGAAATCGGTTGGTTCCGCGAGAAAATTCAAAATGGTGGGAAAGGGTTTGTTGTTGCTGATGGTTGTTGGCCTCGCGCGTGCTCGCGACTCCTCGAAGAACGTTTCTGCGACGATCGGCGACTCCTCGATCGGGAACGCGACGGAGAAGTTGCTGGTGGTGAAACCGACCAAGGTCGTCGAGTGGAAGAGCGGTCGTCAGCGGTGGTCCAAAGACAGCTACCTGGATGCGTGGAGACACTCCAGGACCAGCACTGACCCACGCGAGGGTGTCGTCGCGACGGACGCGACCGGTTCAGGGTCCCCTCAGCGTAGGAGGGAATACACACTGGGTCCCATTTACGTGTCAAAAGAGCCCGAAAGCACCGCGACTGCTCCACGGATCGTTCACGGTTCGATCGATCGAGACTCGTTCTCGATGGCCCCGAGCGACTCGTATTCCCTCCCAACGCGGACAGCTGGCGACTTTGGCGGGCCCCAAAACTCATATGGGCCACCACAACCACCCCAAAGCTCCTACGGGCCACCGCAAATGCCCCAAAGCACCTACGGGCCACCGCAACCACCCCAAAGCTCCTACGGGCCACCGCAACCGCCTCGAATTTCGTACGGTCCACCTTCCAACGGTTATTACGGAGACCCTTCCGGCGGTTCATACTTGCCGCCACAGCAAGGTGAGGGACGAGGTATCGTATTGCGTTCGCGTTCATTTTTTTTTTCTTCTTTTTTCCCGTCATTTAATTAACATTTTATTTAAGTACCTCTGGAGTGTTAAGATCTGATGAATCAGACTCGTCCTTGTAGCGTAAGGAGTTAATAGTGGGTGTTCTTGATATTAATTATCATCGTTTAGAAATAAGACGAATGCGAACTAATGTAATCAAGAGAAGATCGCGACGAGCGGAATACGAGAGTGCGGAAGCTAACTAATAGTGTTCGTCGATGCGAAGCACGCCGGGTCGTTCGTATTCGTGCGTGGCATTACAGAAAAGATCAACGTGCGATGGTTTTCCAGGTTCGGGTGAGGCCATCCGTCGTGAACGTAAAATTTGAATAGTATAATCATATCTGCTTGTAATGCAACCGCGCAGTACCATGTGTACAAACAAGATACGGAACGCCACTCTCGGTTTCTCGAGAACAGCTGTCGACCATTCTCGGCATCAAGTAGGATTTATTAGTTAATCGTACGTGAACACCGGTCGTTATTCTCAGATAATGGCCCCGGAGTTTCCAAGATTACGGTCACGAAACATTATTCTTGCGCGTAAAATTAACTTATATCGAACGTACAGCTCGTATGGACAGTCGAGTGGAATAAAATAAATGATAGCCACAGGTTAAAGATAATATATTTATTTAGACGTTACTGGTTCGGGTCAACGAGACGAGCAGCGAAGAAAAACAAAATGCTCGATGTGGTCGATGCTGCAGCTGCAGTCGTTGGCTGCTTTAGGACACTTACGAATCGCATTCAAGGACACCTTTTTTTACGTTTGCTGACTCGTCTCGTTGGCTCGAATATCGATCGAGCCCGAGGTTGTCGCCTCGTCTCGTGTTCTCTAACACGAGCGTCGAAACACGTGTTTTTATGTTTCTCTCCGTCTTACAATTGAAAGAGAAAACCAAGGCAGACATAGGAACATCGGTCTTGTCTGTCTTCGTTGTTTTCAGCTGCAGGATAAGGAAGAATGCACGTCGTTTCGACGCTCGTGTAACCCTAATCTTAAATTAACACTCGACTACCAAACCAGTCAAAATGACCCATTCGTAATCTCTAATAAAACTTGTGCAAAATTTACTCGACTGAATTTTTGAAAATTTATAGTAATTTTCTGTAAAAGAAATTTCTTTGCGTATCTATCGTTTCAATTTCTTTGGTACAAATGAACACATTGTAATTGTCGATAGTTCTAGTGTTAAACACAGACAGCTTCTCGAAGGTTCGTGACAATTCCAGAACGCGGCCTAATTAGAAAGGTGTCGGTCGTGTTTGATGAAACGAACGCGCTGCTTGCAATACCGTGCCGTCGGATAACCTAACGGCGCGGTGACATGAAAAGTATTCGCAGAATTCTACTATTATGGCGGTGTTTCGCAGCGTACGGGCCACCGTCGAACGTTTACGGAGCCAGCGTCCCCTACGGCAATGGCGTACCCCACGGAATGGCGGAATCGTCGCATCTGGGGCTCCCTTCGATCGACTTCTCCTGGCCGTTCGCGCTCAAGTTGAACGCCTTCACCTTGGCCAAGATTCTCCTCAAGCTGGTCATCTTCAAGATGATCGTCAAGTTCATCGCGGTGATCTGTCTGCTGCTGTTCATCCCGAAGCTCGAGATCAAGAAGGACAAGGGGGACATGGAGGACGAGGGACGCCATTTTTCCAAGGGTAAATTTCTTGTTCTCATCGTTTTTTCGTCCCCTCACGTTTTCCATTTGCCTTGCAGCGGATTCCAGGTTCGAGAACGAGCTGAACGTCTTGACGTCGTTCGTCAGCAACGCGGTGGACAAATATCAGAAGCTGAACGAGACTAGATCGCGCTCGAAGTCGGAGTTTGCGACGCTGGGGCGTCGACTGCACGGTGCATTCAGTTACCGTGAAACCTGGCGATATTACGAGCAGCTGCTGAAGAGCTACGTCTCGGAGGAAACTCGTCCGCTATCGTCGAACTCCTAGCGTCGCGACGTAACGTCCACATCCCCCTCGCGTATTTATTATTTATTCGCGACGCGCTCGTCCGTCCGTTTCGCGGGAAACGAATAAATGGAAATTACAGGTCGCGTCGTAGAATCCTCCTTCTTGCCTTCCACTTCGTTCCAGTTCCAACGAAATCGCAGCAGTTTAGACAATTCTCCCGGCGAGGAGCGGAGGCGCGAGCAATTTCGAAAATTGCAGCTACGTGATCCGTCCTCTTCGGTCCTCCGGACGGACGGAGCATTCGGGTGGGGGGTTGTGCTCGTTTATAAGACCGATCACGACGACGCGACGACGTTTCAGTCGTTGTCCAACTCTGGTCAAATATCGTTCGACGACGATCGAGAGAGCGTCGCGAGTTTCCAAAGAAGTTGCACGAGCATCCAGGCTTCCTATCGACCATGAGGTCGGTCGTTTTCGTGGGTAAGTAGGATCGAAACGGTTTCTCGAATGCTTCGCGAGCAAGGTCGTCGGGATCGGGAGATTCGCGCGAGTCAGCTCGACTCCGAGGGGACGGATACGTAATCGCTTAATGGAGGGCCGAATTAAGGTTAACAGACGCTTCCTCGAGACATTGAATGGAGGTTACGCGACCGTTTACGTCGACCGTCCGGAGAACGGAAGACCAGCTTCTTCGAATATTTGTACTTTGATGTAATAAAAATATTATCTCGAGTTTAATAAAGAATTATCCTGTGCACTCGTTCCTGAGATAAACGATAGAAACTCCAAGAGTAGATTCGACAATTATAAGGTGAGTATAGAGGATGTTCTAGAGGCTATTACTAGCCAGCGATTTAAATCTATCGAGACCCTCGTCTATAATTTTCTCTTTTAACCTACGATAAGTTTCTCTTTTCTTCGAGTCGTGAATTTGGGGTTATTTCTATCTATCGAAGTGTTACATTTGGACGACACGGTTACTAAATATTCCGGAACGCAGAAATCGTGTTTATCGTTTTCTCAGGAACCATTGAAGCCCATAAAATTGGATGTTAGTCGATAGAAAGGTCTCGTTGTAAGCGTGGTTATTCCCCCCAGCGTTCATCGTCGCGTGCACGCTCGCGTTCCTCGCGGAGGATGCGCGCGCCGAGTTGTCGAGCACGACCACGGTCGCCCCCAAGCAGGTCAAGGATCTGAAGGAGATCAAGGAGACCGCTACAGCCTCCAAGGACCTCAAGGACGTCATAAAAGCGGGCAAGGAGGCTCAGAAGAACAAGAAGGACTGCTTGAAGAAGTGTGGTACCGATTACGATCCGATCTGCGTGCACGACCCCAACGACCCTAACTACAAACCTAGAACTTTTGGCTCTCAGTGTGCTCTGGACTTCCACAACTGCGAAATGGGAACGAGTAAGCGATGGATCGAGTTCTTCTAATATGCGTTCTAGATAGAAGGCTATAATTCTTTTAAAATTCTGCAGAACTCGCGGTGAAGGACAAGGGCGAGTGTTCTGGATCCAGCGGCGTGAAATTGGCCGGCTAAGGAACGACCCCGGTGAACCGTTTCTGCTTCGCCTGCCCGCTTCTTTCGTCGCGTCCACGCTCGGAAGAAGACTCCCAAGGCGACCGACCGTTGGACTCGTTTTCCGACTCGCACGGTCGTGACAGGACCTTCGAGATAACCCTTCCGGGGCTCGCCGTCCATGTAAACCAGCTTTAACTTTGGCTTTAGCTTTAGCTGAAATAAAAACTCCAACTGGGAAAAAGATACCGATATGACGATGATATTATTATAGTTGAAACGACGTTTGTGATATTAGTAGTAATTGATAGTTGTAGGTGTCGAATTTATAGACTCGGCGCGTGGGCTGAAAATTAAAGCCTCCGCTATCCAATAACCCTCCTATTAGTTAGAGTACGATTATTTTTCTTGTTGTTATTCCACTTCCTATCCTGACAATGGTGGACTAATCGTTGAATTACAATAATTTATTTCAACAGTATGCAAAGCTTGCGACTCGAATAGACACGAGAATATTTCTTGCCAGACATAATTTTGAGGTAATGTGCATTCACCAAAAATGATGATGATTAAGATCCGCAACCAAAAACAATTTCTTTCGCCGGTTTAGACCGGTTTGAGTTCTTGAAACTGGATTTCCAAAGTGGCCAGAATATTTCTAAGATGCTGGTGATCCGCTTAGTTGTCCAGGCGGTAGGGGAGGTGAACCCGTATGTGGTACATCACTCAGGTGGTGGATAGGGGCAGCATCTGGGATAAGATCATTAGTCTGAGAAGGCTGGTGATGGTCACATCCTCGCAGGGCATTACGGAGGTCAGAGGGAAAGCTCCAGCGGACCATTCACCGGTATGAATGAGTTGTGTGAATGCACTGGGACATGGGACATTTGTCGCGGGTTCTACCCTCAGCCGCGGGTCAGTCTTGAGGCTGGCAGTCATGGGACTTAGTCCCATGTCCCAGGACCGCTGACGCTAGTGATCAGGCGTCAGCAGTTGAGTGTGAATGCGGTGGGAGGTGTATCTCCCACCGAGAGAGGCCTGAAAAGGCAAGGCAAGGCGGGGGACTCTGTGATAGATGACCAGAGTCCCCCGCCAGACGCCTGACAATGGTCACCGTGGGGTTCAGAGATGCCAGAAAAGCACCGCCGGGTGCACACGTACACATGCCAGATACGCGTACGTGAGCTCGTGGAGTTTCGGAAAGTCGACAAAGGCAAACTGACGCATGCCCTCTTTCTCGATTCTCCGAAGCTGCCCGAAGTAATTTCGGATCGCCTCGTGGGAGTCGAGAGAGAAAGGCTCACATTTGCCTTATCGCTCTAAACAACTGAAATCCGACCTCACGTCAACGGCATACGATTTGGATTCTCGAGCCGAGATTCTCGACTGCCCAGTCCTCCGCCGGCCTCTACTGACTGCTGCTGACCATTCCTCATACTTCTGACAACGTATAGCGATTACTACGTGTTACTGCTTGCTCCTGCTGGTCTCTACATTCCTCTACATGCCTCTACATGTCTTTACATGCCCCTGCTGGCCTCTGCTGGCCTCTACTGGCCTCTGCCTCCCTCCGCTCGCCTTTGCTGACCGCTGTTGACCACTCCTGATACTTCCGACAACGTATAACAATTACTACGAGTTACTGCTTGGTCCTGCTGGTCTCTACATGCCTCTACATGCTCTACATGCCTCTACATCCCTCTGCTGGGCCTCTGCTGGCCCCTACTGACCACTGCTGACCACTCCTGATACTTCCGACAACGTATAACGATTATTATGTGTTACTGCTTGCTCCTGCTGGTCTCTACATGCCTCTACATCCCACTGCTGGCCCCTGCTGGCCCTTGCCGACCCCTGCTGACCGCTGCTGACCCCTGCTGACCACTGCTGACCACTGCTGGCCTTTGTTAACAACTTCTGACATGATATATATGTATTAAAACATTGTATAATGTAAATCTATGGCAATAAATGATATAATTACAAAGAATTCTATGTGTTCTCATCATTTTTTACCTTTCTCTTCCTCTCCAAATCATTACCTTAGTTATAAGACTCCCTGAAACTTCTTGGTTTCCCTGAACCCACTAGGAAGTCTTGAAACACCTCGGAAGTCCTGAAACTCAGAACTTTGCTAAAAATTCAGTGTTTCCAAGAATTTTCGGCGTTTCCAAGAAATTCCAGGACTTTCCAGCTGTTTCAGGGGTTTCCAGCTGTTTCAGGACTTCCCAGCTGTTTCAGGACTTTCCAACTGGCTCGGGATTCCCAAAATTTTAAGTCGTTTCAGGACTTTCCAATTGTTTCAGGGCTTTCCAGCTGTTTCAAGACTTTCCAACTGTTTCAAGGCTTTCCAGCTGTTTCAAGACTTTCCAACTGTTTCAGGGCTTTCCAACTGGCTCGGGATTTCCAAAATTTTAAGTCGTTTCAGGACTTTCCAATTGTTTCAGGGCTTTCCAGCTGTTTCAGGACATCCCAGTTGTTTCAGGACCCCCTTCAAATCTTTTCGAGGAACTTAGAAATTTTTGCCCGAAAAATTTTTAGACTTTGTTATTACGAGGACATGATATGGGAAGAGGTGGCACGTATCTTATAACTATGGGAATGCTTTGGAGAGGTAAAGAATGGTAAAAATGACGAGAACACATAGAATTCTTTGAAAGTATAACATTTATTGCCATAGATTTACATTTACAAAGTTTTAATACATATATATCATGGCAGAAGTTGCCAATAAAGGTCAGTAGGGGTCAGCAGGGGCCAGCAGAGGCCAGCAGTGGGATGTAGGGGCATGTAGAGGCATGTAGAGGCATGTAGAGGCATGTAGAGACCAGCAGGAACAAGCAGTAGCCCGTAGTAATCGTTATACGTTGTCAGAAGTAACAGGAGTGGTCAGCAGCGGTCAGCAGGGGCCAGCAGAGGCCAGCAGAGGGATGTAGGGGCATGTAGAGGCATGTAGAGGCATGTAAAGACCAGCAGGAACAAGCAGTAGCCCGTAGTAATCGTTATACGTTGTCAGAAGTAACAGGAGTGGTCAGCAGCGGTTAGCAGGTGTCAGCAGGGGCCAGCAGTGGGATGTAGAGGCATGTAGAGACCAGCAGGAGCAAGCAGTAACACATAGTAATCGTTATACGTTGTCAGAAGTATCAGGAGTGGTCAGCAGCGGTCAGCAGGGGCCAGCAGAGGCCAGCAGAGGGATGTAGGGACATGTAGAGGCATGTAGAGGCATGTAGAGGCATGTAGAGGCATGTAGAGACCAGCAGGAACAAGCAGTAGCCCGTAGTAATCGTTATACCTTGTCAGAAGTAACAGGAGTGGTCAGCAGCGGTCAGCAGGTGTCAGCAGGGGCACACCTCCCACCGCATTCAGACTCAACCGCTGACGCCTGGTCACTAGCGTCAGCGGTCCTGGGACATGGGACTAAGCCGCAGGACTGACCCGCGGCAAATATCCCATGCCCCAGCTCACTCACACACACACAGTTATACGCAATTTTTAATCGTGAGGGTGTAAGGCCACTTCGCAAGTTCCGCGACAAATGGATTGAACAGGATGGTATCAAACACTCGTTGATACAACCTAATTCAATGTATTTTACAAACAATATAACTCTTTACAATATCTTACAACTAGTTTAATAAAATAGACGTAGCACGTGAAGAGTCGTCAGGTGACCACGGAGGAATCGACCCGAAACAGAGAATTATTATTGCACGCATCGGGCGGAGAGGAGAGCGACAAGTTTCGCACGTTAAGAAGGGCAGAGCAGAGCGATTGCGGTCGATGGAGCGCAGCCATTGTTCCTCAATCTCGATCGTTACGCGAGCGTGGCGTCTAACGAGGATGCTGGGTCGGAAAGACGAGAGAGAGGTCGTTGATGGGAACTAGTCGTAAACGGTTCGCGACCAGTCGAAGAAGGAAGCTCCTTTCGGTTCTCGAGAATGATCTCCGTCGGTCTGAACGTCTGTATTTTGCTGATGCTATCGTCGCGGGTCCCCGAGACTCGGTCCTGGTCGGAAACGTCTCGCGACTGCACGCCCTCCAACACGAACTTCGAACGATCGACGGGGACGAGGATCGCGTCGGAGGAGAATCTCGCCTCGTCGATCCTCGAGGAGCTCGAGAGCCGTCTGTCGCGTCTCGAGAGAAGACTCAGGGCCGTCGAGCAGCCTGGTAAGTATCGGTTCCGTGACGTAGAACCGGCTCGTTTACTCGCGAGATGCGTTCAGTTTGGCAGATAGGTCTCACGGAGGAGGATTGGGAAATTTGCGCGGAGGGACCGTGCAGATGCCAACCGGAAACCAAGTCGGTGTCTTGCTGGAGGCAAGAGCTGTTGGACCTTCCGGCAGCGCAACTCGTCCCGAGAGACGTCTTGAAGTTGTAAGCGAAAAGAACAATAGGAACGGAGGATTCTAGAGGCCAATATAAGACGAAAATCAAGAATACAAATTTGTTGATCAAGGCTCCGTTAACGAGTTATTAGTAGAACGACAATCTGCTAACAGCTGCGTGCAACGTGACAGTGGTTCTCACTCAGAAAACTGTAAGGCTGTCGATAAGTCGCTAACTAGAGTTTCTTATATTGAGTGAGAATCACTATCGCTCTACACGTGGAACTTTAAGCGTTAATAACTTTCGCGAGCGTTCGTTACAGAGATCTGGGCGGAAATCGACTGACGGCGCTCCACAGGGACACTTTCCTGGACATGACGCGACTGAATCACCTGTGAGTAGAGAGCACGCGATCGTATTCCTTTGGAATCGTTCTCACCTCGAAGGATTCCGTTCGCTGGATCGTTTCAGGGACCTCAGCGACAATTCGATCGAGCACCTGCCCTTGAACTTGTTCTTCTCGTTGCACGCCGTCACGCACGTCAGACTGAGCAAAAATCTGCTCAGGGAGCTGCACCGGTCTCAGTTCCTGAGCACGCGAAACCTGCGCATTCTGTGAGCCACCGAACGAACATCATTTTTCATAATTTATCGCGGTTCAACTAGATTCTAAATTGCCCGTTATTTTTTCATAAATCAAACTCTCGATGCAGCGACGCGTCCTCAAACAGGCTACGAACTCTGCCGGACAGCCTCTTCTTGAGCACCAACTTGCTGGTGATGCTCGATCTCTCTTGCAACCGTATCTCGAGTCTATCGTCGGGCACTTTTCGCGGACTTTCGACCCTCGAGGAGCTTCTCCTGGGGAAGAATCGTCTCCTGACTCTACCGATCGACTTGTTCAGCGACCTGACCAGCCTGAAACTCCTCGGTCTCGAAGACAATCGACTCAAGGACCTACCGGGCGAGGTGTTCCGCGGGCAGACGTCGCTTCGCGAACTGAACGCCAGGGGTAATCAGCTCACCGAGATATCCGGTGGTCTGCTGGCTCCTCTCGAACGACTCCGCTCTCTCGAGATGTCGAACAACAAGATAGCTCGGGTAAACTAATCCCTTGGACGCATATTTTAACCCTTTGCACTCCTACGTCGAGTGTGATTTCGACGTCAATTTTTATCTCAGATGCTCCTTCGTCAAAGAGATATCGTACACATGAAAATTACAAAACGCAACAACAGTGTGATTCGACGTCAATTTTTATCTGAGAAGCTTCTTCGTTAAAGAGATATCGTACACATGAAAATTACAAAACACAACAACAGTGTAAATAAAACAGATATTTCAACAGGTAAATTTCAAATAAAACACTTAAAGGCAAAAAGGTTGGGAGCTGCTGGTAACAAAATTCAAATATAATTCGGAGCGCAAAGGGTTAAGTTATTCAACTTTATAAGCGTTTTGAGGTTAGGTCTGGGTTTGTTGCCTCGTGACAGATCGACCCATCCGCCTTTCGAGGTTTGCTCGCGCTGGAGGAGCTTCAGCTGGGCCACAATCGAATACGAACATTGGCGCCGGATCTCTTTTCCACGACCGGCTGTTTGGAACGATTGGTGCTCTATGCCAATGGCATAGAGAGCCTGACGCGCGGCGCATTTCGCGGTCTGTCCAACCTGACGTCTCTCTTTCTGCACTCGAACCATCTCAGGATGATGCATCCCGAGTTGTTCCAAGATACGCCCAATTTACGAAAATTGTGAGTCGAATAACAAGTCGAGGGAACTTAATGTTGTGCACACAAGTTGCACAAGTCGTATCACTGCAGGCAACTGGAGTCGAATTACCTAACCTCGTTGCCGCCGCGAATTCTGGACCCCATGCCATACATCGATCAGCTTCGTCTCGCTAGGAACCCCTGGCACTGCGACTGCGCAGCCTCGTACCTGGCCATGTGGCTGCAGAAAAGGTACCTGGCTCGAACGAACGGGTCCACGGACGCGACGGAGAATCTCAGCGTATGGGAATTCGGGGCAGGGGCGATGTGCAGGGGCCCCGGGACTCTGGGAGGAAAGCCTCTGATACGGTTGACGTTCCACGAGCTCTGCGAGGGTCAGTGGGCCTCGATGAAAGGCCTGGCCCCCAGAATCCCCGTCGACCTGGTGGGCACCAGCGGTCAGGTCACCGGTCCATCCGACACTCTGTCGCCCAAAGAACCCGTCTCGGTATTTAACAAACCCTCCGTTTGCTAGCACGTTTCACTATCTGACGAAACCTGAATTTCACAACGCCAAATCGATCCACTTTTCCTGCCTGCAGGAGATTTTGTTCAAATGGAAATTTGTTGCAGAGTCTATGTGGAATTAATCGAGGCATCCCTCTGGTGGCGAGGGTGGGCAGTGTCGCAAAATGTTCGAAAGTGAACAGAAGCATGTAGATATCACGAAATCGCGTTGACCGTTCCTAAACACCACCTAATTCCACATGGACTACAACATATTTTAATTCCAACGTCTCGTTTTCACGTAACGTTTCTATCGACAGGTCTAACCTCTTTGGCGCGGACACGGGACGGATATTGCAAGTGGACACGTCTTTATCGCTGTTTATTTTCAACATTTCTCTCCCGACGTTCTTATCTCACGCGTTTTCTCCCCGTTAGCTCGTAATCTGTCGCTTCCGCGATTTGTTGACCCGCTCGACCGCGCCTTGTCCGATTGCACGACGCGACGACGCGTGTTTGCCGAGAGGTCTACCGCGTAAACGCGTGCCCCTTTCGATATCGCGTTGACCGACCGAGCAACCGAGCAACCGAGCGCGATGACGAGACGCTCCGTCGCGTAGCCGACACCGATTCGAGCAACAGTTCACAGTGCACGATGAACGCATCAGCATCCGACGATGGAACGACGTTGCTGCTGCAGCGACTGCTGGAGATTCTGCGGGAGGAGCACGCGTTCGATCGCACGGCCAACGAACCCGTCGTGCGATTCGTTCAACCGAAAGAGCTACAGGTATTTCATCCTCGAGAAATCATGCTCGTCTGGCGAAAGCAATCTTATCGCAGAACTTATTTGCAGAAACGATTCTCGGTGGACTTGAACGAGGAACCGGCCACCGAAGAGGAGATCGAGACGGCGATCAGACAGACGATTCGATACTCGGTGAAAACGTTCAGCCCGAATTTCCACAATCAGCTGTACGCGGGCACCGACGAGTATGGTTTGGCTGGCTCATGGCTGACGGACATCTTCAATACGAGCCAGTGAGTCTGACACGGACACGCTTCCACGTTCAACGTAAACAGAACCGATCGGATACATACATACATATATACGTTCACAGTCGATAACGATGCTCTTTTCGTTGAACGTAAATATGTTGCAAGTGTGTACAAAACAACACTCACGATACTCGATCCGTTAGATACACGTACGAGGTGGCTCCCGTGTTCACGCTGATGGAACGAGAGGTGATCGAGAGGTCGCTGGAACTAGTGGGGTATCCTCCGATGCCAGAGGGCGACGGTATCCTCAGCCCCGGAGGAAGCATCGCAAACATGTACGGTATGGTGTTGGCGAGATACAAAAAGATCCCGGGTATCAAGGCTAAGGGACTGGTAGGCCTGCCACCGCTGGTCTGTTTTACCAGCGAAGCTGGTCACTACTCGATCACGAAGGGGGCCCACTGGTTGGGTCTGGGGACCGATAACGTCTACAAGGTACACTTGCTCCAACCAGGTTCAACAACCCATTTCAACGTTCCTATTTGCACGATAGGTAAAATGTGATGAGTTGGGCCGAATGCGACCAGATGCCCTGAAGGCTGCTATCACGGAGGTCAAGGGCAAAGGACACTTACCGTTCTTCGTGAACGCCACCTGTGGAACCACGGTCCTCGGGGCCATCGATCCCTTGCCAGAAATCGCGGCGATCTGTCGCGAAGAGGATCTATGGTTACACGTTGACGTTCGTACAAGTATGATGTTCGCACAGACTGGCGAGAACCGCGTAATGCAATTCGAACACGGTTTTCTGTTGCAGGCCTGCCTGGGCGGTACGTTGTTGCTTTCGGAGAAGTATCGAACGCGATTACGGGGAATCGAACTGTACGTGATTTCACCGATTTACTTTCTTTTCTCGCTTTTTTACGCGTCCTAATCTCGGCTAACGATACGCCCGCGATCTTTGTCATTTCACCTCTATCGATCGATCGTACACGTCAATACCGGTTGCAGCTCCAATTCCGTGGCGTGGAATCCGCACAAGATGCTCGGCGCCCCGTTCCAGTGCTCCTTCTTTCTGGTCAAGGGAAAGAACATTTTGCACGAGGCGAATTGCGCGGGCGCCAGGTACCTCTTCCAGCAGGACAAGCACTACGACGTGTCCTGGGACACTGGCGACAAGAGCTTGCAGTGTGGAAGGAAGGTACTAACTCTCGTACGAGTAAACGATGGTCCTACAATTTCAGTTCGACGCAAATAGCTTTATCTATTCCTATCCTATCATTTCACCCTGTTAACTACGAATAAATATTATGTTTGACTATTGTAGGTTGACGGTGCCAAGATGTGGCTGATGTGGAAAGCCCGCGGGACCCAAGGACTTCGCGAATCCGTGGACGTAGCGATGGCCGCGACCGAGTACTTCTTCCAACGAATCAAGAACCGCGACGGTTTTCGACTGGTCCTCCCAGAGTTCGAAAGCTGCAACGTCTGTTTCTGGTGAGCGTTTCGAAACATGTCCAAAACGACTACCTTCCTGAAACCGAATAATATGAATCGACGTGCAATCTACCATTTGTTTCAGGTACATACCACCTAGCATGCGCGGTCGAGAGGAAACGCAGGACTGGTGGGACGAGTTGTACAAAGTCGCCTCGAAGGTCAAGGAACGTATGATGGTCGAGGGGTCGTTGATGGTTGGCTACACGCCGCTGTCGTACAATAATCTCGGCAATTTTTTCCGTATGGTGGTTACGTGCCAACCTCCACCGACGGAAGCTTCCATGGACTACGCTATCGAGAAGATCGAAGAGTTCGCCAGCGATTTGTAATCGACCAGAGACGCGTTTCGAGATAATCTATCGCTCCGAGGTCCCCGCTCGTGACGATAATGAGTTCTATGCTCGACGCGCTCGTTCGTAATAGGCGTTATTATTATTTTTATTGTAACCGATACGTTGCCTTGCCCTTAGAGGCCGTTGGAACGCCGCGATAACGGTCGACCGGTTCGCCTCGAGGATGAAAGAAAGGAAAAGCTGGTTTTGCCGGTGTAAAGTTTGATCCTCCCCGTCCACTGCCTCGATGTCCTGTCCGCTCGAATCGAATCGGAGTCGAATTGTTTCGCAGCGCCTTATCGAGACGGACGATCGTCTTTTTTTATTCTCGGTTATTCTTCGTACATGTAACGCGTTTTCCGCCGGCTCAATGTGAGCCAATAAACAAATGCGATTCGCGCGCTGTGCCCACACAACGCACGCATACATACATTCACACACACACACATGAGCGTTCACTCGTGCAATCGTTCCTAGGTACAATTCGATTCTTACACGTAATGGCACTAAAAATCGTTCGATATGAAACTCGAGGTCATCTTTACCTTAAAATAAAAATCTGTAATATGTTCTCTCTCGCGTATTGTATACGTCACGCGGCTCGCCTAGGTACGTGTGTCCGAGTATGTATATTACAAACACGATCCTTTCGTCGGAGGATCGTTCGTCGCTGGCTCCTCCAACGTTCCAACCTCCGCACAAAGTAACGAGAACGGACGATGGCCTCGCTGTCCGTTCGCGAAACACCGATCGTTCTTTTCGTCCGGTTTCGTCACTGGCTCGATCTCGTCTTCGTAGCGTCGGTTGTTCTCGCGGGAAAAATAAACTTTGCCTGCTTCCCCGTTCAATAGTATTTGTCTTGGTCCAGGTCGACTCGAATGTGTTGCTGACCGTGACTGTTGCGCTTCAACGTGGCGGACTCGCAATCGAGGCTCTTCGGATACAGTTTCGGACTACCGAGTCCGTTCACGTTGGGGTTGTTCTTCGCCCGGAGCGTCCCGTTGCCGTTCGTGCTGCCGGAGAAGCTGGGCTGTCGCTTAGCGTTAACCTGCAAAGTGAAACGCGCTCGTTAAGCCTTCTGAAATAGACCGGCAAATTGTAAATTCATAAGAGTTTGATATCTTGCAATTAAAAGACAAAACGGAACGTTATACTCGGTAGTAAAACGTAGATCTTTCTCTACACGTGCTTGGATAACAAAGTATATTATTTTAAAAATGGGTCGAGCGAATGTAGGAAACTAAACTCATGTTTGGTCGAAAGGAGCTTGTACAAATGACAAAATAAATGGTATACATCAAACTCTCTATAGTTACTGTCCCTCTTACCTCTTTTAACGGAACCGTAACGTAAGGGTTCTGCTTGCTGACGTAGTGAGGGCTTCCGGGTGCTCGCTGTTGTCGCCGTTTCATGTAGCAGAAGCTCATGACCGCCATGAGTGCCAGCCCAACGAGGAATCCGACCATGCAGCTGCCAACCACCGCCCCGATCGTGACTCCAGAGCGTTCCATACTCGATTGCATGACGTTCACGTCTGGAAGAGAGATCAACTCTGTATTAACCCGTCACATAAGGAATTATTATTATTATTACGTATCGATGGCCAACGAGGACTCACCGTTGTCCGTGCAATCGGGCAAACAGTCGCGCGATTCCCTGTTGGAGCCCTGACACATTCCGTTGCCGTGACGAAGGCACTGTCTCTTTCGATGCTGTTGATAGTCGGCGTCGCAAGGCGTCCACCGTGACCAGGAGTCCCAGCCGAGTAGCGACTCGCAGCTAGGCATCTCGCAGGTCTCTCTGACCAGTCGAGGACCCTCGCAGGTCTCCACGGTCAAGCATTCCCTCTTTCTGGTGCGCACACCGACGCCACAGGAGGCAGAGCACTCGGACCAGTCGGTCCAACAGGACCACTGACCCTCCGCGCCCGTTCCTCCATTCGTTCCAACCACCGAGTTCGACCTGCACGGATGCGTGTTGCACACCTTGGTCTGAAGCGTCACGCTGCCTTCGCACGGCGGCGACTCGCACTGTCTGACCTGTCGAACGAGCAAACGCGATAGAAACCACAGTTTCGAACTCTTCCGCAAGTAACTTGTTGCACAAGAATTTACCCTGAGTTGCGAGCCTCCTCCGCAAGGGCGATCGCACGCCCGCCAGGAGGACCACTCGCTCCAGTCGCTCTCGCCAGCCACGTCCCCGTACCCATTTTGATTCGCGTTCCCCCTCAAACAGGAGCCGTCGTTTCTGCAGTAACGTTTCTCCTCTTTGGCCAGCTGCACCCTGACGCTCGACGGATCGTCCGTCTGGGCCCGGCAGCTGAATCGAAACCGCTTCTCGACGTATCCGACGTAACCGACGTTCCCACTCTGTTGAGTAGTGGTATTAGTCGCCAGCCACGGTGTCCATCCCGAGTATCTCTTCGTCTCGACGCACTGATGGGTATTGCACTCCTCGACCTGAACAGGAGACAACGTAGCTCAGCGGAACCGTAACTCGCGGAACGACCCTTTCGAGGACTTGATTTTTACCTGAAAGTCGCAACCGTTGCACTCGACGGTGCCGGATTTCCGCTGGGTCTGGCTCTCGCACGTTCTCTTCCGTATTCGTATACCTGAAGGAAACATACGTTCGTCGATAACTAAACACAAGAATTAGAAATGAACAAGATTTAGGAATTAAAGAGGGTCGCTTACCGCCGTTGCAGGGCCGAGAGCAAGAGTTCCAGTTGCTCCAGGAGGACCACTGTCCGGTTTGCGGAGGAGGCGCGATCTTCGCGGGCGTAGGGCAAGGCGGTAGGTCTATGCAAACGATATCGTCGTGATCGTGGCCCACGCAGACTCGCCCTCCGAATGCTGGTGCAGGGTTCGTGCACGAGCGTCGTCGGGTCTTCATGGCGAAGCCGCAAGTCTGCGAGCAGGCGGACCAAGCCGACCAGGCCGTCCATCCCCCGTGCACCGTGCAATTGGTCACCCTGACTTTCGCCCCCGAGCAATTCTCACCGCCATGCTGCGGCGGTGGGTTGTTGCACTCGCGCGTTTGACACTGGCAACTGTCCGTCGTCGTCTACGGAAAAGAATTCACCGATCAGTTTCCCGTTCCATATTCGTTGTAACGGTTCGTTGCTGTTCGATGAGACTAACCTCAGAATGTTCGGAATGAGAGTGACCGTGAGCGTGGGAGTAGGAATGGGCATGACCGTGCTCCGCGGCGCCATGTTGGCACACCGACCAAGAACTCCAGGCGCTCCAACCGCCATCTACGGGGTCCGTGAGCACCGGACACTTGGTGACCTCCTGGTGCCAGTGGTTCCCCAGATGGTTCTGCTTCGGGATCGGGGCGCACTTCATCAGGTGCTCGTTCCAACCGCAGTACGGTTCCTGGGCGTTCAGACAGGCCTGGCGACTTCGGTGTCGATGGCACTGGGCTGTCGGTACCCTAAAAACGATTCGAAATTTATGGTCGCTGGCTATGGTTCGCGTCTTCCAACAGAGTGACCCAGGATGCAATAATGAAATTACTGTTTCTATTGTTAAGAGTGGATGTAGCCTAAGAATAATCGTGAGAGCTATGATGAATAAGGTATATAGAGGCAGTTTTGCTGCGTATATCGTGATTGTGATGGCTACGATAAATGGTGGATGTGGGAGGTTATAATTATATTCATAACACTATCAACATGGACCGTAAAATTCTAACGATAATATTCTTTTCGAACGTCCAAATTGCTTACGACGAAGGAAACTTTTGAGGTTAGAAGCTGCGCGGTGGAATTGGCGGGAATCTACTGGCATTCTATTCGTGTCTAATGTACGTGTTTTATGTCGAATACAATTGAATATTACATAGACAATAAGGTATTTAATGACGACAGTTTGTTCATACCTGGCCAATCCGACCTCCATGCCGACGTAGAGACTCTGCGTGTCCTTCAAGAACTGCAACGTGAGAGGCATTGAGGGCATGGGGCCCCAGACCTCGACGATGCAGGTCTCCTGATTTCTAGGCAGTACCGAGATCTTCTTGATCATGCCAGCGTCGGTGGCGACGTAGAGCACCGTGACGCCGCGGTGCAGTTTGGTCGGAGTGACGTCGAGCGCGATGAGCGTGAATCTCTCCAGTATGGCGGTATGAAGGGGCTCGAGCATCGTGCTTTGAACGGCGTCGTCCATCAACTGATACCTCTGGTTGTCCATGATCTGATGAGGGGCGACGTTCGACGAAGATTCGCACCGTTGTCTGTCCTGGTGAGACACGACTTTCCTTTCCCAGGCGGCGCCAGAGTTCTCCTGGTGCTTGAAAGGCCCGTTGAAGCTGGCGGTGATCGCCGACATGTTGAACGCGCAAATCGCCGAGCCGGCAATACCGTTGCTAAAAATATAACGCGAGGTTCAACGTTTCATCGGGGAGCACCAACGACCAAAGGCCGAAGTCGGACCTTTTCTTTCGCGTACGAAGAAAAAGGAAAGACACGCGAACGTCCGACTCCGCCCACGCCCGCGCCCGCGCGCGCCCTCTCTCGGCAGCCCGTCAAAATTTCGAACCGTTACCTACCATTCTCGGTCCTCCCAATCCCAGTCGATCGTCAAGCGAGCAGACATAAAAGATCGGTAAGAGTTTCGACGAACGATTTCGCAGCTTTTTTTCGCGGTACTTACACGGGAGTGGTAAAGGTCGCGTAAACGATGCCCTCCTCCGGATGATAGACCGCGCCTTGAATCTCGTCGTAGTAGAAGGGAAACTCGCCGGGCAAAGAGCAATTCAGCCGTGCCTTGCTGAAAGTCGTCCAAACCTCCTTCATCATGATCCGTCCGCCGCGATCGTTCTTGCACACCCTCGCTATCCTCGAGTAAATTTTCTACAAACCGGAAACGCACCGTTTAACATTCGTAACGACACGCGACGCCGCGTCGATCCCCGTTGCTCTTGGTTACCTTGCCGCAGTTGATGTACTCGACGGCGGATTCGCGAAACAGGAAGTAAACGTGGTCCTCGGTTTCGAAGCTCCCGACGAACTGCGGGTCGTTCAGCCACCTGGAAACGATTCGCGAGTTTCGAGTGACTCCAACGTTATCCGGTTACTGGTCGGTAAAGCGTCGGAACGCCTAGTGGTTTTAGAGGTCGATTACCTGGAGTCGTATTGATGCGTGCGCAGGTTTGGCGTGGCGAGCGTCCTGCAGATCGCGGGATCCGCCCCGGAGAAATCGGTCAGCGCGCCGGTAAAGAGGCCTCCGGTCGGCCCTCTGGCCAACAGCGCGGTGACGTTGGCGTGCGGCGAGTACGGGCACATCGCGACGCCCGACATCTCGCTGGTAACCTTGCTGATCTTCTCGATCTACGAAAACGCTCTGTCGGTCTCTCCGTCGGCGGACTCTGGCGCGTCGATTCGCGACACTTACCTTTCTCCAGGTGCACCAAGGGCTAAAGGCGTAGGTGCCGCAGGTGAACAGGCTCTTTCCATTGCTCAGGAGCACCTTCACGTAGTTGCGACAGTCCTCCACGCTCTGTCCCTTGTTCTGGCACGTGTTCGTCTTGTCCTCCGGCGCGGGCCAGCCAGCGTGCTCGAGCGCCGTCAACGACGTCAGCGTCAACCGGTACAGATTGTCCCTGCAAACGACAACATTCTTCGAACGCTTCCTGGCTTTTCGAAACACGCAGTGTTGGATTTCCTAACCGTCTCGCGTTGTTACAAAAATCATCTCCAGTGACGATTGTATGTGTCTGGAGTTTTGGCCATGGGTTATACGAACTCAATGGTGTTTATTATAGAAAGATAAGAGTTCGTCGCTGAAGTCACAGTCTTGTAACAGATCTCTTAGAGGACAGAACTGAACTCTTAAGCCGTGTCCCCACTGGGTCGGCAAAGAAATGGCTTTGCCGCGGTGCATAGCAGTGGCACGGCCGTGCCACCTTGTGCCGCCTTTTGCCGCCTTTTGCCGAACGCTGTGCCGATCGGCAAATGCCGAGCCGTGCCGACCCAGTGGGGACGCAGCTTTAGATGTACCTTTTACGTATCATTTAATAAAAAGTACATTCTACCAGTAAGACTACATTCGACAGAATTTTTACGGTAGAATCTCGGTCGATAATGACCGTTACGTAATAGCGACATCTGTTGAACAATCGATGGAAACACCAACGATCACGTTCCGAATACCGGGCATGCGTAGGAGAGTGAATCGCCTTTCGGCAGTGGAGGCACACGAAGACGCGTGACTGGGCCAGGTTATTGTCTGTACATCGAGTAAACGAAAGGTTGTTACTGTCGTAATGGCGGTGAACGAGGGGACGACCAACGACCAACGACCGATGCGTAAACGGCGCGTAAACGTGAGACTCTTTCGTAAGAAAATCCCTGTGTCCGTCGTCGTCGTCCGTTCGAATCGAAAGTTCCCCCGTAGCCTGTCGAGCGAACGTCTTTGAGTTCGAAACGGGCCCCCGGTCCCGTATCGGTTGCGGACCGGTCGAGGGGCCGCGTGGGACGCGTTGGACGTGCACGGTGCCTATGGGATACGCGTAGAAAAGTCCGTCGGTGCTCGGAGAGGGACGGGACGGCGTCGCCGTCGCGAGATCTAGCCCCAGGAAACTCGCAACGAAGCATAAACGGCGCCTACGTGGGCGCCGCGCCGCGCCGCGCGATACTTTGACCGAGTAATTATTATTATTATTTTAACTGGAATGGAAGCGTGGCACGGTGCACGGCGATCGAACCGCGTAGCCCGACACCTAACCCTACTTATCTCTCTTACGAATTCGGTCGCGAAGAAGCTAGACTCCGCGAGCCTTTGTAGAGGATGTAACCGATTCGTAGACTCAAGTAGGTAAGTACACATGTACTTACGTGCGAGAGCGTCGCGTCGTTCGAGCAGTCCCATTGAAACAGATTGCTTCCTGTTCGCTAAACGAACGACAGGCTCCCTCGCGCGACGACGCTCTTTGTTCGACAATTTACGACCATCTTTTCGCTCGGACGACGATGGCTACACGCGTCCCGCGAACGGACGAGAGATTTCCTCGTAAAAATGGCAAAGTCGAGCGATGTCGCGCGCCATAGATACGCGGCGGAGATTACGGGCAGAAATATCGCGCGTAAGGCGAGGCGTGCTCGCGCGATAAACGTAATTATTTACGGCGTCGCGGCGGTGTTCGTTACGGCCGCGAGATCCTGGAAAGGAACGAGGAGGCGAGGTTAGGTTAGGTTGGGCGAAACACGCCTCCTTCTCTCTTTCATTTATCACGAACGGGTCGAGTCCTTTAAATGCATCGTAATACGAAAAAGAAACGAGAAGAGCGGGAATTAGATTATGAGTACATTGGCGTTACGTTATTAAAGAGCTGAGGAGGGAAGAGGGGGGGGTAATATACACTTCCTCGCTAACAGGTGCGAACAAGATTGGATATTGGATATCTTGGTTATAGGATCCGAGTGCGCGAAGCGTGATTTAAATAGTACTTGGTAGAGGAGGAAAGTTCCTGATTCGATAACACGTTACGAGCAAATTGGACTGCAATTAATATCGTCGCTGGACACGGTCGGTTCTTTGCGACACTTTTAGTATATTCTATACGACCAAATAAAAATAATGTGTTATATAAAATACAGTATACGTTAGGAGTATTGGGAACACCGTGATAGGATGCAAGAATAATAGACGAGCAATATTTACGTTTAGTCCGTCTATGAGAGATGCGTTGAATAGCCGGGAGCAGTTTATTATACGAGGTCAGCGAAATTCAATAACGAACGGAGTAAGACACCGAGGCTGCGATCTTGTTCGAGCCGAGGCAACGTAAGACAATTGTTAGGACGATATAAACCAGTTCTTATGAAAATAACCGAGGGTGACTCGACGCGTGAAAATCGTATAGCATGACATTTATCTGTGTTTAAGGATATCATATTATCGTCGCACCAATGTTCGAACCCGATAAGATCAGATTGTAGATCTAACGGGTCGAATTTAGACGTTATTTTCTTAAGTATCTTTCGATCGTTGGTGAATAATAGAAACTTGCTACCGGCGAGTGTCTTGCAAAATGTCGTCGACGAACATTACGAACGATAAGGGAACCTAAATCTTGCGGCACGGCGGACGATATATTAACGACAATTCCATATTACACGATTCTAATACAAGTACTGTAAGGTCGACGCTATCGTATGCTTTCGTGAAATCAATAGAGATATCGACCGTATTATCTTCGATCCAAAGAGTTCGATAGCATACTTGCAAACAATGTTAGATTACAAGCTACCGAGCTGTCTGCAACAACGTCGTATTGTCAATCACGTATCGCATTCGATAGAGAAGACGATTTGCGAGTACATAATTACGCTTTCAATCGAAGATTTAGTATGGAAATTAGTTTAATCATTCTTGACGTAGAATCTATGGCCAGATTTAGTAATTGGGTGCTACAACGCTGGTCTTTCATCGAAGAGAAAAATAGCTAACTTAATATACGATTGAAGATTAATCGTATGGGTCGCGTTGGAATTAATTAATTTATGTTAAAAACACGACAGACAACGGCAGTTTAGGATCGTTCCTATATTCCTAACGTTTCGTCCCGATGATTTATTTAATGTTAACTGCGACTGAACATTGAGAACATGACAAAGGGTGGCGATAGTTCCCGCACTCGCCGGCAGAGGGCTACGCTCTCCCGCAGCAGTTTAGAATATGCACTCGGTATTTATAGTAGACGTGGATGGAGAAGGATTGCACGCAGGATTCAGACACGTTTCTTTGGTTAATTTATCATAATGTACTTTTTAGATATATACAGTTTCTAACAGTGCTGTCAAAACTGACATTCTTATAAATGGTACCAACATTGTATTCCAATATAACTACATCGATTGACCTCTGTATGTCTAGATATCTAAAGCAGAATCAGTTATGGTTGTTTCAATAATTTGACAGACATGTCCTCTACGTACGGGTGACAGGATTTTTTCATTATAAAACTACAGAAAAATAATTAATTCTAAAGTTTGAGATGTCGATATGATTTACGAATTTTACAAGAATAAGAACTGAAATAAATTTTAGGTTATGTAGTTTCTTATGGGGTTTGTATTACTTTACGAGGTTAAGGAACAATTTCTAAATACTCTCCACCAGAATACGCATTGTCTCCGTTTTGAAACTTGGTCTAAAATAAAAATTTCAATTTTGCAGTGTATTATACGGTTTTGAACGATTAAAAATAAAGCAAACCGCCCCTCCTATTATCAGTTTCAGATTCAAAGTGGTCGAGGGGTTGAATATATTCCACAATTATTAATATAAAATAATAATCCAACCCAGGTCAATTCCTATGTATACGTTGACCAACCATCGAATGTCCTAATAGATTGCTACCGGTACTGCGTTTTTTGGAATCATACTCGACCGGTAGTTTATCAATACCGGGGCAGCTGGTTGCGCCATTGTATTTCGTAGCCGATATTTTCCGAGTCGCCGAGGAGTTATTATTATCGCGGGCCAATAAATCTACCCAATCTACCTGTCGCGGTAGGCTTTCGATAATCTCGGTTTCGGTGACGTCACGGTTTGCCGTGCATGGGAATTCAAAGTGGGAATGCAAATCGTGGCGCCGTGTCGCGTGCACGCGCCCAGATCGCCGGCGTCGCGCCGCGCGCCGTCGCGCTTTCCCTCCCCTTCGTCGCGCGTTCAGCTTCCCGGCTCTAGGCAAAACCCAACGACCACGATCGACGGCCACGCAGGTTTCTCTCGAGCCCAAAGAAGCGACCGCGTCTCTTCGTCTCTTCGTTTCTTCAGGGGCGGCGATCGTCGCATTCGCGTCACGCGCTGGCAGCTGTACGTGGCTGCCATCGATCCGCGCGCGGTTGCCCCATCGTTCGATCGATCGATCGATCCGCGTTAGGATTTGCTCCGATTGCGTACACGCCACGGGTACACTGGCGCCGTCCCGACATTCGCCGCCCGCCTCTCCTTTCCCCCCTCTCCCCGCAGTTTCAAAGTGATTGCGAATTTCATTTCCGCCGCGCCGAAACACGAAACGAAACGAAACGAGCTTGTCTCGAGATTGCTGAAACCGTTCCACCGCGTCGCGAGAGAAACGAACACTATTTTTTCGAATTCGCGAGCTGTTCCCTGACCGAGATAAGGCGAGCAGCTCGCGTTCCAGCGAGCCCCGCACGTAGGTCGCGGCTAATAACTACCTTCTATTAATAGAAAGACCACGGGGGCGTGTGTGTTACTCTCCTTTCCACGTTCGGTTCGATCCTCGATCGACGGAAAACGCAGCGCGTCTTCGTCCTCTGGCCGCCTACCGATCCGGATTTCCATCGATCGACGTCAAGAGAGAAACGACGCTGGAACGGGAACGCGACCTTGGGACAGCGCGCCAAAAGGTGTCCGGGGCGTTTTCGTCGACGAGAGAATATCGTTGGAAACGAACCGGCTGGCTACGGAGGCGCGCGAAACGAATCAAAGTCACGACCAATTTGGCCAACGGCCAAGAAGAACGTTGCTCCTTTCTGGCTCGACCACGGAGCTGCTCTCTCGTCTGGGGCGTCTGTGCTTGCGATCCTAGGAAAAGCTTCCCGGCGCGACGCGTCGACGTCTGGCAACGCGCCAAACTCGCCTTCGAACTGCTCGCGATTCACGGTTCTGCGTGGATTCTCGTTTCCGCGTTCGATCGAATTTATTTACTGCATTGCAGACAACGGTTTCGCTCCATCACCGTGAATTTTCTTTTTTTGTTAAATGAAACTGCTAAAACAGGATTTACGAAATTGGTTATTACAACTCTCAATCCTAGCAGATCCTGGTTTACACGCCACAGGATATGGGATGATCGTTCGAGGAGCTTATATGTATACACGGACAGTGGGTCGAACGTCTGCGAGAGAGCGAGCCCTCTGGCGGCGAGTACGGGAAGCGCCAGTGACAAAATATGTTCTAGAAACAACCAAGGTGTCCACCTAGTGTCCGTACGTACCGTGCACCGACGACGACCTGTTGTCTGGCGACGTCGAACAGCAACTGGGAGTACGTCGTGACGCCCTCTTGTTGGAACAGGCTAGTGTCCGCCAAATCTGGAACACGTTTACGTTTTAAGGCCGTTGATCCGACGCCGATCGGTTCCTCGATACTCTCGGGGCCTATTGATAATTCTACGACCCTAATTCATAGCAAGGAATAGAAATAAATTGACGGTTGGTCCGCGCTAACGATATCTACGTTTCGAGGAAATAAAAGAAGGATTAAAAAAAAAAACTAGCATTTCCTAAACGTGTCCACTTCGGGTGCTTTTACTTCGACGAAGACTATAAAAAATTCCATGTTGCATTAGCGTTGACATACCGATACGCCTTCGGCATTGCTTTGAAGTCTCTCCTCGTCGCATAGTTCACGCATGGCTGGATCTCGTCTCGAAATAGAATTCGTTTCCAACACTCGCGACGCAGTCGACGGACCCGATTTTTCGCCTTGAATCGAGGCGCTACTAATGTGCTCGCCTCAACAAGTGGATACCCAACGCGACACGAGCGTCGAAACGACGTGTGCTTTTACAATTGAAAACAACCAAGCAGACATAAGAACGTCGGTCTTATTTGTCTCTTCGTGGTTTTTTCAATTGCAAGATAGAAAAAAACGTTTCGAATACATAATTTTAGGCACAGACGACGAAAAACTGTCCGTAGTTTTCCCCCCCCATATTTTCACCGCGTTCTGTTCGCGATCCAACGTTCCGCGAACCAGCAGAATTACCCCGAAGCTTTCTTCTCTTCCGGACAAACTAGTTTGGCGACGTTAAAGGAACGATCTATCCCTCGCCTCGTCCCGCTCGGTGTAGGATTACTACTCCGAGGGTTTTTCAGTTTTTTGTCGCGCCGCGGCGTTCCGATCGACAGGCTCCGGAGGACGAAGGCAAGAAACGAACATCGATTCGTGGAAACCTCGGTTCGAACGGTGTCGAATGCTTCCCCGGCGTTGATTCGCGTTTCGTCGCGATACGTGGATCGACGAGAGCCTCGCGAAGCGTCCGTATTTCGTCGACGGAGAAATCGTCCGAAAGCGGGGTTAGGTTTGGGTCGTTCGCGATAGCGCTGGCTAGCTCTCCCGCTTTTTCCACGCCGGTTCGTTCGTCTCCTCTTTCGTTCGTCTTGGTCTTGTTATTTTTCAGCCGGTTTGCCGACGCGGAGAAACGATTCCGCAAAGGTAGCTTGCGCGGTTCGTCGTACCTCTCGCGTTTCCACGTATTCAAGTACGCGTGTACCTGTGTCGGGGAGCGGTTGCGCGCGCACGCCACGTAACCTACACGCCCAGACGGCAGCGTCCGTGCGACCACGTACGTGTGCTTATAAGCAGATACGTGTGGGACGAACGGGCCCCAGTTAGCATAACCTGATCTCGAAGGCCTCTCGGGTATCCTCCCTTCACTCTCCGCCTTTTCTTTTTCTCCTCGATCCCCTCCCCCTCGCGACGCACACACACGCGTACCTCCCCTCCCCGCGAACCTTTTTTCTTCTCCACCCTTGCCCGATGCAGCAGCAGCTTCTTCGCTCCGTTCGACGCGCCTTTTATCTCTCGTTTCGTACGTCTATCCACCGATCCATCTACCGATCGATGCACGCGTTTCTTTGTTTATCGTTTCCGTTTCGCGGAAACCGAGACGATCCTACGAAACGAAGTCCCGAGACTACGATCACCCCTCGCGATCCGCTTTCGCAGTCGGACTTTTATTATTAATACTATCATTGAATAATACATTTTACCGGCCAGTGCCCTTTTTTTACAAACTTATATAAATAGAATACAAAATATAACACTAAAATAATACAGACAGAAATTTCTATAAAGCTAGTAAGGATCTTCTCACTGAATCTTATAATTATTCTCTGATAATCACTAGGATAACATTTTAACCCTTGAGGGGACTCTCAATTTCAATTTCAATTGAATGGAAATCAACATTTTTTTAAAGAATTTAAAAAATAATTAACTAATGGAGGGTTATATAAATTTACCAATTTGTAAAAATCAACATTAAGTAAAATAATTCTGTTGAGTTTGAGAGTCCATATAAGGGTCAAGGGTTGAAACTGGATACTGAAATATTTTTTAAACTACTGGTTCTATTGAAAAAGACTTTTGGATGAAACTTGAATGGCAATTATTATTTTCGAAGGTCAAGTTTGTTTTCCTAAATAAAATCATCGAGCTCGTCACTCAACGAGCCTCTACTCCGAGCGATATTTTAACCTAAATATAGCAAAGTAAATCTGTGCTAACAGGCGATATTTCCAGAATTAAAACTCTTTCAATAGGCGACTTTTTTCGTCAGGAACGGCTGCACGGATTTCTTTGTCCACGCTTCCGGAGAGGAAACGCGCCCGTGGTCGTCTACGAGGAACACGCGCGAGAAATCGGATAAAACTCGCAGGATGCGCGCGCACGGGGACTCGATGCGCGAGAAATCGAACAAAACTGGCAGGATGCGCGCGCACGGGGACTCGATTCCCGATGTCGATCGATCGACCAATCGACGCTGGCGATCCCGATACACGATTCCCGATGAAAAGAGCGGCCGGTTTCTCGGAACGCGACAGCTCCAGTCGCGCCACAGTGGAAAAGAAGAGAGCAATCGCCGGTCGGTGGAACGCGACGCGACGCTCTCGGCGAAAAAAGCGGTACGTCGATCCGCGAGCGACGCCGCGCGCGTATATGTCCCCCCGTCCGGGCGCCAATCGCGTTTTCTTCGAAGACGGTCTTTCGCAGGAATAAAAGAACGACCCTCGGCTCGAAAACAACGCGGAAGCGACGAGGACGTTTCGAGACGATTCCGCGCACCGGGAACGTCGCGTTCCTGCGCGAGTGCCCGGCGTGGCTTTTAAATCGACGATTCGAACGCATCGCGAATGCTTCGTTACTCTTCGTTCGCGTCCTCCTTTCGACCATTAGGTCGAATAGACTCTCATTATAGTAACTCTTATTTAGAAAGCGCGATATAAATTCCTGCGTCTTGATGCATTCAAAGAAATTCAAATTCGATTTCAGGTTTACGCGACGTATAGTCTTTTTATATTTAGCGAGCAGGAGATTGCAGATAAGGTGGAAGCGGAGGAATACCATGCTCGAGATGAAGAGGAAGAGTGACGCTGAGAGATCGGGTCGAGTAGCTTCCCTAAATAGCAAGACACGTGGAACCAGGATGCGATGAAATGCTACGGTTTGACGAAGGAAAATTCAGATTTCGTTTAACAGGTCGCTGTCTGTGACCCGTATATGGGTTACACCACCACGCTATTGGATACGCCGCTGAGAGACCGGACAGTGAACGCGTTGGTATAATTTCAGATTTAAAAATTCGTCGAGAAATCGGTAATGGTGGAATAATTCTATTTAGTAGAATCTTTGTAAACGAATAAATGATTATTTTAGCGTCCGGAAGCAGAATACGCGACGCACCTTGCTCTCGTTTCGCCGCGCGGAAGAATGCGCGGCTTTCCATTCTCACGGATCGCGTTCACGCGGAACACGGCAGGGAAAATTTTTCCCCCGTATCTCAAATCACGATCGACGCACGAAATAAGAATCCGGAATTTCGAACTGCGCAACGATCGTACAAAAAACACACCTTTGTCTTATCAGGTTTCCCGTCGTTCCGTGTTGCGTTTTCTACGATCGACGATGGATCGGCGTCGCGGAAATGACGCAACGAGAGTAAAACGCGACTCAAAAAGTCACCGCTCCAACCGTAGGATGACGTTCGAGGCCGATGAATTACGGGCGGCGTTCGCGATCTTGCGGGAGAAAGGAAATAAACTTCGATCCTGCGTCGTGTTTCGCTTCTGTAAACTTTCTAGCGCCAAACTGAAACGGGGCTGTTCGTTGTCGACGGAACGAAAATTTCTTCCTTCCCGGTGGTAATTGGAGAAGCGTGTAGAGCGTGAAGATATTCCCAGACGCTTTGTCTGTTATCTGACACCACGTGCTACCGTAGCAAAAAATAAATGCAAAAGTGCCAACGAAAATCTCCAACGATTCGAATTTCGAATACTGAATTTACTCGATGATGATTGTGGTATAAATATAATGCTATTCTACTACTGTTTTTTGTATTAAAAATTCAAGGATTATTTGCTTTGATATCTATGTTATATGTACATAATAAATAAAATGTATTTTTGTATTTAAAAATAATAAAAGAAGAACAAATAAAGTAACTTGAATCGTCTTAAGCAAACCTTGCCCTGAAAATATACTATAACTTGTAAGTACCTGCTATCTTTTCAAAAGCAATTTCCACGACTTAGAAGGGGGTTCTAACTAGCAAGAATTTTATATAACAAAGCTACCGGTTAAATTCTTTTAAAAAAGTAATCACGAAACGAATTAGACTTTTGTTTGAAATGATGCTTCAGACGATTGTTCCCCGGACTTGTTCACGATACAAGGTGCGTTAGAAGACAAAGGCTGTTGCGCAACCGCAAGATGGCGTCTTTGCTCGTGGCGTTAAAATCGTGGAATCGTATGGAAGTCGAGTTTCGAGCCGTGGCTATAATCCTGGAATCGCGTAAGCAGCCCAATGTGCAAGAAGGGGACAGAGAGAAATCGAAACGAGTGTCGCGAGAGCGCGTGCCGTCGCGTGCCACGTTCGACGCCCACGCTCGTCGCGGCGGCTGCTCGAATCATTCCCGCGCGCCGAACAATGCAACCGTCGAGAAGATCGGTCATCCTCCGCGGCCGTAGGATCCATTTTTCCCCGGTTTCCGGTCTCGAGGACGCCCCGTTTCTTTCGGAACGCGAACGACGACGCAACGACCCGACAAACGCGTCGTCGCAACCTTCGGTTGACGATCTGATCGCGTAATAGGCACGCGTACGACGCGCCTTGCCTCGCCACCCACGCGACGGCAAAGGGGGGAACCTCTGCGCTCGAAAAGGACGAGCACGCGCGATCGTAGAATCCCAACAGTAACGATCGACGTGGGCGAATCATCGGGGAAGAGGAGACTGGTTCTTCCCCCATTTCCTAGTACACCCGCCAATCGTTCGAAACCTGGAGGAAGCAACGGTAAGATACGTGTACCCCATAAATATCTATACTTCGCGTTTCCCGTCAGATTTGAATTAATTAGAGTGCATCGATAAAATTCAACATAAGTCGCTGACGAATAATACGTACGAGTTCTGTAACTTTAAGTGTGAAATCGTAATTTAAATTAAGGTATGGAAAGCTGTCTATTTATTACTATGTGCAATTTATTTTGATTTTTTATTTCAATTGTTAGAATTTAATATTATTGACCATGTTCTAATGACTCGTGAAATAAATTTTGTACATCCACAAAATGTTGTATTATTTAATGAGGCCCTTCCGAAGGGCCGCTAAAACCGACCCTGAGCAGCGACGTTCGGCAGCGCCACTCATCTGTGGCCGCGGAGCATCGATCACGTGAACTTTCCGTTTATATTTCCCAGCAGTTCCTGTCGAACCGGGTGGAGTGTTAAAATGTCCAGCCGTATCGATACGTAAACTGAACTTGTTTCGTAACTCGCGATGAAACTAGTTCGCGTTTTCTGCGAAGCGTTTCAGGCGACCACCGTTTCGAAAACGTCCGTTCGCGATGGACGCTGCTCGATAAGATAAAAGGCGCGAGGACGGGGACTGGTATAGGTGATCCTTGCTCGATCGAACGTGCAAAATATCACGTTGCGTAAATCTTATCGCGGCTGACTCGCGATCGATAACCGCGTATCGAGCCTGTTCGTAATTCGAGGCGGACGTACCTTCGTAGGAGATGCGTCGAAAGTCGTCGGTAGCGTGCAGACCCGCAACCAGCATCCCCAAGATCGCTAGACGAACAGGCCACTGGTCCATCTCGATGCAGCCTGACGGCTCTTCACCTGGACAAACGAACAAAACGAAACCTCGATTATTTCGAAGCCTGTGCCGGAGTCATTTGTGACTCGTACTAACATTTCACTAATACAGATATATTTTTATACAGAACGTTGTAACACGGCCATTTTGAAACACTCATAAAGAAGTAAAGAAGACACTATATTATTTTTCTCTTTTCTGTCTGTCTTGCTCGCAAACCTATAGTTGAAATTAGCGAATTGCAATAGCGAGACTTAGAGAGCGTGTTACGAGGAATGTGACGGAGTCAACGATGACTCGGGCACAGTACTCGAGAGAGTTAACATTTTTATCATTTAATCCTTCGCGGACAAACCCTTTGCCTCGGTTTAGATCGTTCCTTTGGCTGCAAAATCCTCGTCCACGAACGCCTCGCGATTAATTGGACGATCGTTTTGTGCGGTGCTCTGCAACCCGGTTCCCGGGGCTGTTAATTAACGTTCGACCCGATAGCGTCGCGCCGGCCACGGGCGTTTGGACGTTCGTCGCGAAACCAGAACGAAACGAGATCGAAGCCGCTGGGCGATCGTTCGGTCCGAGAGAGAAAAAGACGCTGTCGAAACTCGAAACGAGGGAGCCACCGGTGTGTGTGTAATCGTCGCTATGCCTGGACCGCGTCGCGTACGAGAATCGACCGAGAAAAGGATTGCCAAGAACGCGCGAGAGAGGTCGCTGACCTCACCTACGTCTTTCGTCCTAGTTGCATCTTTGCGCCACAATCCAAAGATTTGAGGTTAAAGATTTTCTTTTCTTTAACACTAGATTCACCCAGAGAAATAATATTTGAGTTTTGGTAACTTTAAATACGACATCTTATACTCGTCACAATTGATACGTTTCGATAAATCTAGTGTTATAAGAGAACGTTTTCTGCGTCATGAGGTCTGCTTAAGTATGCTTATCAGTAAGGGAACTCTAGCAGGCCCTGTCTAAGCCATTGGTCGTGGAGTGTATATGTATATGAATGGTCAGTCGAGTACTTACGAGAAAGAAAGGTCGAGCGTGTCCCTCTAGCGGCAAGTACAAGAAGCGTCGCCCCATTTCAGATAAAAATGCCCTTTAGACCACGGTTGCGACTAACCAACGACGTTGTCTATATTATTTACTCGATCAAAGTTGTGAAAATACTACATTTCGTATTAGAACCGAATAAATTGTGAAAAGATTGCTTGGAAGAAATTCTTGGTTTCTACGTGAAAAGAACGACGAAAGGCGACGACGAGGATCGAGATTCTTTCTTCCTGTTTATCGAGCGCAGGTAAACACGGTGTTTGCATACGCTGGATAATAAGGGGCATCCTTGGAAATTCAACGACGCGCGACGACGGGCGACGTTTCTCTTTTTGCTCGCTTTGTCTTCGAACGTCCGTCACCGTGACAGCTTGCTTTCTCGTCTATGAATAGACGATAGTGGGATAAAGGAGGACACGGGACGTCGAGAAACCCCAGCGGACCCACGTGGTTCCGCTACGTACGCGTATTTTCTGCCTCCGCCGCGGACAGAAACAAAAGAGCTGCGATTCGCTGAAACGAACGAGTTCTCGAGTCCCGTCGAGAAAAGAATCTGTTTCGAAATTATTTTTTTTGGGGATTTCAATCGATCATGCGGTGGGTTCGCGAAATGGTGACGTTCGAGTATGCTTTATTTATCGGTTGCGTAGATAGTTCACGTTTGTTTCGAGTCGCTCGCAACTTTCGCGTGAAATTAATGGCCGCGCGACGCAACTAGTTCGCCGGGCGACGTCTATCGAACGAAATTCCGCGGCTTTCGTTCGCGTTCCTCGCGTCCCACGTAAAATATTCCGGTCCGCGTTGCGGTGGTCTCGGCGGGGTAAACTTTTTAAAAGCCCCTCGCGGCAGCACGATAATACACGAACGCCACGGTGGTCCCGAAACTCTTTAAAAGGACGCGAAGGCATTCTTCGAATATAAATATCGCCGGCAGCCGGGGCTTTCGTGCGCCGCCATACTCGCGATTCTCCCTTCTCGGAAGCGAATAGTCACGGATCCGTTCCCCCGATCGCGGTTCCGCGACAGCGAGCTACGCGCCACTGCGTCGAATTTTACTTCCAATATGGCGGCCACCCACCCTCCAGAGTATTCGACTATATTTCGGGCATTCGTACAATTACAAAATGCATAATTCGATTTTAGAAGGTATTACAAGTTAATTTATTCGACATAAATTTTCAGAGGTAACTAAATAAATTTATAATATTAAAAATGAATTTAATCTGTGCTTTATCACCGTAAATACGAACATCTGACATCGAAAATTATAGCAGCGACTATGTAGTTTGCAAGACAGTGTTATTTGAAACGGCTGTCGTTCCAGGACTGTCCCTTCTGTGTACAGTTACGTAATGCAATATAGTCGTCCGATAGTTATTATGCACGAAACGCTCTCGACGATCTAGTGTTAACTGTACCTCACCCATTCTCGCTGTCTCCTACTCCCACTGACAGTCCCAGCCCGCTGTATCTGTTTATCATTCGTTCTCGCGTCTCTCACCTGCTTCAGCGAAGGGACTCTGCGAATTTTAATTCTTTTTTGTAAATAAATTTGCAGAAATGCGAAGGTATCTGTTCTGAAATACTATCCATTAACAAACTATTGCCTTTACACTTCGAGGGCTTTGGGGTACGTTTTCCAATTACTCGATCGAGTTTGTACGTTACAGGGTGTAGGATTACAACCATAAGGAAGCAGCCATACTACGCGACAGTCGACCCGTTGTAAGGTTTACGGAAGAAAGAAGTCTAAAACTACCCTAGCAACGATAATTATTTTACTAATTTTCATAAGCGATACTTTTATTTTATTTTCCCTTGAATATGATTTTTGTTTATACTAAAGAGTCTTTAAATAATAATAACGAACGTATCATTTCACATCTCGACGCTTCAGTTATGCGGTCATATTTCTCCCTGAATAAATAGATAATAATAACGTGCCTATTATTTCACATCCCGGATAACTGAAACGAAATCGAGATCTCGACGCTTCAGTTATGCGGTCATATTTCTCCCTGAATGAATAAATAATAATAACGTGCCTGTTATTTCACATCCCGGATAACTGAAAGGTCGAGACCTAGATTTCATTTCAGTTATCCGATCACGGGATCTGTTCCGATCGAATTCCACGTTCGACGAGGCGGCAATCCACGCCGGTAATATTAATATAAAAGATACCGTCGCTGACCGACGAGCCGGACGAATAAGGCCAACGAGAAGACAGTTTACCGTATTCGTTCGCGGAGACGCGTACGCGGACATCGAATAGCCGATAGTCGATTCTCCGTTAGGAGAGAAACAACCGTTCGCTTCGCCGTGCGCGATAAATCGGCAACGTTCCCCGACGATACCGTTCGTTCCCGGCATCCGCGCTTTTTTCGCTCGTCCGTCGAGCGACAGATAACCGCGTGCCTGGATAAATAAACGAACGCCCCGGCGTTAATCGTCGCGCAGCGAAGATAGCCTGGAATCATCGATCTACCACGAACGAAGGCGTGGGTGTCGCCGTATCTGGGCTCGCGATCGTCTAGAAACGAACGCGGTTTACCGTGGCGCTGGAGAAAGGCTTTCGACGGAAATCGATCGATCGAGAAAGGACTCGAGAAAAATCACGTCGAGCCTCGATATGATTAAATACTCGTTGTACTCGACGATATCCGTACAAGGAAGGACGAATCGTTCCGTTGGAGACGAGGTCGACTACGTGACACAATGAACCGGTAGCTGATCGACACGTTTTATTCGCTGACCGGAAGCGCGAAGGATGGGCTGCTGGGACGCGCCGCGACCAAAAAGAATCGACGTTTCGAGGCGCGTATCGTTAACGGGTTCGACGAGCACCTTCCACCTATCGTTCGTGACGCGCTAAGCTTTGATCAATGACGATAAGGAACGAACCACTCGAACGATAAATACGTTTAAAGGGGCCTCCGCGTCGTGGGACTCGCGATGGATTCGATCCGACCCGGGTTTCAACTCCGCGAAGATTCGAATCGTATCGAACGCGATTCGAACCTTACGACTCTCGAACGTCTCGTTAGATTCGAGAGTTTCAAGACGTATAGAAGTTTATCACCCGAGCTTCGAGTCGAGGTTCGGGAATTTTTCGCCGTGTAAATTCGAGCTTCGATCGGAAGTACTTCGAATCCCATCGCTACTCGTGATCGAATCGTGCCAGGGAGCATAGAAAACGATTCTAAAATGGTCTCTCGAAGCCATCGGTTGTCGCGAGACGTGCCTCGGGGCAAGTATCTCATCGTGTTGAGGCTCCTTAAGGTATGTACCGCGAGATTAGATCGTTTTCTTCTTCGCTTCGCACCCCTTCGTGTTCCGGAGACGACGCAAGCAGATCACGGTCGTTGGTCGACTTCTCCGTTTGCTTTTTAACATTTATTGTACCGCAAAACACGTCAAACGGCAAAACAAAGCGCCATTGACGGAAGAAATTGAGAAAAATTTATACGTTAATAGGTTAACCGTACTTATTTATACTGAATAGTAGTCCCGAAAGTATCGAGATTAGTATAGAGTTATAAAGGTTGGAAAATGAAGTGGAAGTAATGCACGGAATACGTAATAATTACACGATATCTTATTTTAAGTTTTCGTGTAAAAAAAGCCATTTTCGGATAATAGTCTTGTTCTAATAGGTGAGACGATATTATCAGCTGTAAAGAACAGTCTTTCGATTGTAAAAGTCTTGTCTTTTCTCAGTATACTGTGGGATCGGGAAGATAATGACTCCGCTCTGTTCCGTTCCGCACAATTGTATTGTTGCTGTCGTACAACGACGTGACTCGTGGTGCGGGTTACGCTCGACTCTCTGGTACGATCATCGCCACCGTACCAAGAGGCCTTCAAAAACAAAAGACGGTCAGAGACGACGACAACGGCTTTTCGGCTCACGCGGCTCTGGTCGTCTCGTGTGCAACCATCGTCTCGTGTGCAACCATACATTGTAGCGGCT